CCATTTGCCTTGCCCCTGGTTCGATGCACATTCACCCTTGACACCAAATAGATGACAAACATGACAGATATGAGGGAGATTGCAATAGGCAACCCCGATGCGCAGTGACGAGTCATCATCTGGGCAAAATAATACGTGATCTAAGCATTCACTGTCAACTATGAGTTCCACCAAAACCTTGGCAAACTCATGCATGTCCCCATTCGAGTAGTATGATCAACCCCCAACGGGACCTCAATCCAGCTTGCAATCCTACTAAGACCCTGGTAATCATTATATTCTAATGGAACATTCGACAAGTCCACCCAAATTGGCAGAGCTTTCCTTCCTAAATCTTCAAAACTAATACCTGAAATCCATGGATGAAGATAAAGCAAATTGTTAAAGTAGATCCACAAACCATTATCAAGAATCCATTCACAAACCTTCTGATTTGGCAACTGAATCAACAATATCTTATCGTAGAGCAAGGAAACCCTGACCAAACCATCACGTCCCCAAAGCTTATTTGCCCAGCGACGCAACAAGTAGAGCAGTGGCAGATCTTGCAAAAATAATCCCACTAAACTGTTTTTCCATCTCACCGCCCCTGCCTCACGCACTGCTTTAGGCATCCGTGACTTTTCCAAAATCACAAACTTCTAAAAAAAATCATACTTGCACTAAATTTTTTCAAAATACATATTTTTCTGGGTGTTTCACTCAATGTTGAGTGATTTTAGTACTGGTTTGCTGGAAATAAAAGCATCATGTTGCTACCAGAAATACATATGCGATTATGGCACTTGTTCGTTGGTGGTTTCAATGATTTACGCTTTACATATGTGGAAACCTTGGACGTTCTTAACTTTTTATTCGATTATAAAAAATTCTTTTGAAAAAGTTATGCTATATAAATAAATTATATCGATTAGATAATCGAGCACAAAATTATGATGAAATCACTAAATGATTGATTTGGGCTCGTAAATAACCTTTTTAACTGCCTCTATGAAGTTAGATTGTGTCTCTTGACGACGATTCACGGAATAGGTTAACGTTGTTACTCAATTTTGAGTAAACACGGTGACTACCAAAATCTATACCATTCATTATCTCTATTTTACTATAATTTGAAATTAATGGTGAAATTAAATTAAGGATGTTTTTGGAAATAAAAAAATAACACACTTGATTACTCTATATATTCTACCTAAACCCTACTGCACCCTATATCTCTCCAATCTCCACACCATCCCTCCACCCCTCTCCTTCCTTCCTCTCCACCGACGCTGTACCTACCGCCTGCTCCCTCCTCCCCTCTCGTAGCCACACCACCCACCCCTAAGTCTCTAACCCGTCCCTCGCTCCCCACTCCCTTTCCCTCTCACGCCACCCTTAAAGTCCATAACCCCCTCCTCCCGCCATCCCATGCTTCCTCCCTCCACCCCACGACCATCCATCCTTTTTGTCTCTCACTCCCTCTCTCTCTCTCTCTCTACTCGGCTTATAAAAGGAGCCGCCACCGTCGCATTTATTGCAGTCCTCTTTCTGGAAGATAGCTGGGCGAAAGGTAAAAATCTAGATCTGTATTTTTTTTGGTACTGTTCATTTGTTTTGTTTTATGAAGGGTTAAATTGCACGTTTGGTCACTCAAATTACATAAAATTTTCATGTTTACCACCCGAATTACTTTTCTTTCTAATTCGCCACTAACTTTATGAATCATTTCACCGTTAGTCACCGACCGTTAGTCCCTGTTAAACTCAGTTAATTCCGTCAGTTTTTTGATGACGTGGCAAACGAAAGCGATGATTGAACAGTTAAATTAATGACATGTCAATTTAAAAAAATTCAAAATTCAAAAAATAGTTATTTTACACTCGGATGGGAGTGGCCGCTACACCCTTTTCTTCTTCGCCCATTCCTTCACCGCCGGCTTCCCAAGAAGAATCCCCAACCCAAAAAAATCCACTATCCTGGGAGAAAATCAAACTGAGCAATATGTATATGGCACCATAGTGCTCAAAGAAAGTAACAAATAAAAAAAATTTCAAGCCACATGTTTGCGATTCAGATCGTAGTTGAGGAGAGAACAACAACTCCCTTTCGCGAGATCGAAGGCGGAGCTGAAGGAAGCAAAAGAAGACAGCGACGATTGTCGTGGCTTTCTTCGCAAGACGCCATATGAGCTTGTGGGGAAGGTAAAGAAGAAGACGGTGGTGTCCTCGGATATCTTCGAGATAGGGGAGGCGGGTTTGGATGGAAGGAGAAGAAGACAGCGGAGGCTGTGGCATTTTTTGCGAGATGGATTGGAGGATCTAGAGGAACGTAGAAGAAGTGTGGTGTGAGGGAGGGGATCGGTCACCTCTCAATCTCTAGATCCAGATGAATCTGATTGTGGAGAAAGCCCGAACGCGCTGTTGTTGTTTCTCGGAAATAAGCTTCTGACATCGTTTTTGGTGCACACACTATTCTTTTTAGCCTGCATTAGATTTTTTATCCAAATAAAAATTCAATCCCTCATGGGATAGGCCGATTAGATTAATGCTGCTGCATACGAGGCTTGGCAATTATGAGAAGGAGACGTTGGAATTTCCCCTTCCCAATGCCATTTTCACATCTCTGTTGGAATATTTTTATACTTTTTTCATTGATAACATTTTCACAATGCTAAATAGGTAATGGGTAATTCTAAATTTGGGATTTTAGATTCAAAATAGAAAAATATATGAAGCGGATTATTGTTTCGTGCATAAACTTTTGTCTCGTTGTTTTTATTTTAAAAACAATGTGGTTCATGAGATGTTTGACTTTGGAACCTTAATATTCGTGCTTTAAGTTTGTTTAATAGTAATGAATTCTATTTTGAATTTATGGTTTAGTGTGTTTTATAATTAGTACTTATGATATTCTTATTTCCAAGGTACCGGTTTGTTAACGGTTTTTAAGCGGCCTAATACCGGTTAAACCAATAAAGTGCGAGCCGTTCACTATATTAGTTCATGCTCCGGTTCGGTTTTGAGAATATTGAAATTTTGGCTTCTTCTGCTTCTATTAATTGTTTTATGTGTTGTGCTTTATTACTATTCTTCTCAATATGAGGGTTTGTGTTTTCCAGTTCAAGGTTGAGGTTGGGGAAGGAGTAGAAGACGATGGGTAGGTGGAGCCACTCCTATTTTTGTTTTATTTTATTATTATTTTTAAATTGACATGTCATTAAATTAATAGTCCTTGCCACATCATAAAAAAACTGACGGAGTTAACGGAGTTTAACAAAGACTAACGGTCGGTGACTAATGGTGAAATGATTCATAAAGTTAGTGGCGAATAAGAAAGAAAAGTAATTCGGGTGGCAAACAAGAAATATGTATGTAATTTGAGTGATCAAACGTGTTGTTGGGGGCATACAAGGGCCCAAGAAGGGAGCCCAGAGAGTGGAGATGGGCCTAGGATGTGGGCCTGACAAGGAGAAAGTCCAGCCCAAAAGGGGCAAGAGGTGGTAACCAAGGCGGTGGGGCCGAGTATGACGTAAGGCGCATAACGACAAAAATGACAATGGTCGGGAGCGTACGGAGGGAACAGGAGGTGGGGTCATGCGCCTCGGGGTTAGGCCAGATGTCAGAATGTCGGGGCGCATGACAGAAGTAAAGTACAATGCATTAAATGAGATGATGACATGGGGCGGATTTGGGGGGCACTGGTCGACCCTACCCTGGGTATAAATAGTGAAGTGGGTGGAGCTCATTTACTCAGGTTGGAACTTCTCTCTAAAAACTATATTTCACTTCTCTCTCTAGAAACATTGTTCTAACTTGAGAGTCGGAGTGCTAACGAGCCCCAAGCGAGGGGTTCGGCGGGCGCCTTCGTGTGTAGGAACGAAGTGAGAGGTCGGAGCGGGTATTGGTTTGACTACTGTAATTGTATAGATTGTATTTGTCTATATTGGTAGTTTCAGTGTAATGGTATATATTTATTTTTGTATTGGTATTGTTTTTCATAATGATATTGATTTATTTCTGCAATGGTATTGGTGTCTTCCGAAGTGGTACTGGTTGTCTAACGGATTGGTATTGATGTCTTATTTTATTTATTCATTGGTATTATTTTGACTGAACGAAAATAAGGAAAATATTGAGAGAAAAATGAAGGCGAGATCTAGCTAGAGATTGCGGAAGTGAGAGAAAGAGAGAGAAAATTTCTATTAATATATTTTGGTAACTATCTCGAATGTAATTTATTAAGAAAGGAAATTAATAAATATTTTTTTCCCATACCCAATTTCCTCTTAGTAACTATGGTGATTACTAAATTTGAGATATTAATAATATCTCGAATGTAATTTATAGTAATCACCATAGTCACCCCCGATAATTCACCTAAATCACACTTTAAATGACCGTAATATGGGTGAAATTACTTTAATCTCCAACAAATCGGAATCAAATCACTGAACATTACAACTATCTCAAATTTGTGTATTTTGCAAGGTTTTCAACCCGCTCTTGAAAACGGGCTAGAACAACCCATTTGTGAGTTATTCCGAAAATGGTTAAACCTGGGAAATCCGATCAAACCCGGAAAAACCCGGGCAGTTGGCCCATCCAAGCTGGTCAGCGGGCTCTCGTTATGAAGTGTCGTTGGATTTTTACTATATTGAATTTAAGTTGATGTTTTAAAGTGTGTTGGAGTTTAAGTATTGTTGTATTTTTTCTATGTTAGATTCAAGAAAAATATAATATAATTACTCTTTTCATATTTCCGGGATAAATTGGGTGACTTATTAACTTTTGACCCACTAAATCAACCGAATCTAGGTCGACCCGCGGGTTGACAACCTTGGTATTTTGGGATTATTGTTTATAGTAAGTTTCGCATTTTGGGAAATAAATCCTTTATTCCTTGGCCGTAACCCCGGCAACAACAAAAAAAAAAGAAAAAATTCAAGGATCCGATCGTGTTAATACATTACCTTCTCTCCCCCTCTATAAAAAGAAGGAACGGTCCCCGACTCTCCGGATTTCTCCAGTCATCAGTTTTTTTTTGGGCTAGGTCTGGGAAAGGGGGGAAAATTGTAGGTTTAGCGAACTCTTTCACCATGGATCTTTGGCTGAGGTCTCTCAAAAGCAAGGCGATCCAGCTCTTGGTCACTGAGATCGACTCCGTGTTCTTGGAATTCGGTTTCGTCGGTTACCATACTGTCGATCAAAAAAATTCCACACTCTCGGTCTCTTACACCCTTCCTGCCCTGAATGACCAGACGAAGAACAAAGTACCGCCATCGGTTCAAGTAAAGTTCCAGCCGCTGGCTAACTTCCTGGTGATTTGCGGCTCTCTGGCCCGAGAAAACGGTTCGCCTCTGCGCAGGCTGGTCTTCAACAAAGCCGGAGCATTCGCGTCGGTCATCACCAGCGGAGAGGTTACGGAGTTTCGCAGAACGATCAAGGACGGGCTCTGTTTCCCATTGCTAATCGACATCACGGAGGAGGCAGGGCTGCCTGTGCCCAACTGCTTCTCCACCCTCCCGGACGAGCTCAAGCTCGGGATCATGGCGCTGCTGCCGGCGGAGGCCCTGGCGAGGATGGAATGCGCGTGCGCTGGCCTCCGGATCCTGTCTGCCTCCAGCAATCAGCTGTGGGAGGCCAAATACTGCGAGGTGTTCGGCAAGGTCGTGGTGGCGGAAGCAGGGTCGAGTTCTTCGGTGGAGAAGAATTGGAGGAAGCGGTTCACTAGCAGAGCGGAGAAGAAGAGGAAGCTTGCCAAAGAAAAAGAGGAGAAGATGGGTTTGCTTCTTGAGAAGCGTGTGAGATTTATGAGAGATTATTATATCAAGTCTAAGCGAAGAGGATATAACAATGCATGACTTTAGGTTTGGCTCGTTGGTAAGACATCGTCTTTGCACTGAGAAAGTTGAACATTATATTGCCTGTGGTTCAATGTTCACAGTTCTGGTGTGTCCTTTGTCATGGAAAGTCTCAATTTTCTGCATCTGGATAATGTATGGATGCGTTGGAGTTTTGGTAAATGGGTTCCGATTTGGTTATTTCCAGTCTTTTCTATGTATTCTTGATGTCTTAGTTGCTGGTCACGATGGCTTCTGTGTGACTACCTTTTAGTTCAGGACTCCATTGTCACCTTATACTGACATGATTGATACAGAACTTGTAAGTTGTAAGTGCTAACATGATTGAAGAAGTGAAAGGGGGAAAGTGTTTTGAACATAATTCATACGACTTGACTTGATCAAGCAACTAGTACATCATGATCCTTCCATGGTTGATGCGGACTTGTAGGTGCTGCAACCAGGCAGGTGTCTATGTGGATTGTGGAAGCTGATGAAGATGAATTACGACTTGCCCATCGACAGGAGATTCCCCTGAGAAGTTATAATCGAGCCTGGTAGCTGAAATCTGCAAGGACGGAAGAGCCAGAATACTTCAACGATGAGTTCCAACGAAGAACATTCATAGGCAACATCCATTGTTATACATGCAATATCTAACTTGCTGCAATTTGCTGTCTGAAAACTCATATAGCGATTTCTGTTTTTATCCCCTACAACTGGCATTATCAGCTGCCATGTGGACAGTCGTTGTTTTAGAAAGGTATTTAGTCTGACAGGATTCCTACACTGGCATTATCAGCTAGCATGTAGACAGTGTTATGAAGCTTTTCTTTCTCAGTATTTTCAACTCTCAAGGTTCTGGTCGGCGTTGAAAATACTGCAATTCGTTTTTTACCTATCGCCATTAACTGCTATCCGGATCCAAATGCTTACACGGTTGGCTCGATAGAATCAGTTAAAATTTTATTTTAAAAGAATCCATGATTGATTGAAAATGAAAAGATAAACGTTCTGCAATTTAGCTTTATAGTTTCCGTATAATCCTGACCTGATCTCTCTGGATGCGTGGCCTTCCTATGGCTTGTTCTTCTTCTGGGTTACTCTCAGACTTCCATCATCTTGCTTCTTTATGGGTTGGTGACATTCTTCGTTGTAGTATTTGTTTCACAGTATGTGCTGTTCTACATCAAAGAAACAGTGGTGATGAATCATCAGCTGCCTCCCATGTATGGTCCAGTTCTTATGCCACTTGTTCACTATAAGACGCTCTTTGATTATCAGATATCCCTTGCTCCTTGCCACGGAAATTTATACAGTGGATCCTGGTACTGTTGATACACATTGAAATCAACTTCCCCCAATATGGAAAGGTATGGCTACTTTGTTTTGATTAGTCTCTCTGGCTTCAGATTCTTCTGCTTTGCTTCTTCCTTCTGCTGATTGAAGTCCCGTGTTTATGTTTACTCTTTCTTTGTTGCCTATTTCATTAAGGGGAGAATAATCTCGGAATTATGAGCGATCTATTTGGGATGAAATTCGTGGAACGGATCGTGATAAGTGGTGCAACCAGAGGAAGCTTGCCAGTCATGAATTCTCAGGGATTTCAGTACCAAATGCTTTCAGGGTCAATGCGGCAAAGTTGGTTACGAAGATCACTGTTGCAGCAGCAGCAGGTGCGGAGACGATAGATTTGCAGGTTGGTTTCAACTGTGTGGTTTCAGAAACTAAGATATGCTCGAAGCTGGAAAAGCAAACAGATTATACTTTTCACAAAAGCCGCGGGAACTTGTGCTTTTTTTTGGTTGAAGTTCCTTACTTTGCTGCACAAGTTGTTGCTTCATTTTCATATGCAGGATATGCTAATGTAATCAAGGTGAGATTTGGGATGGAACTAAATGCTTTCACTGGAGCAGACGACCTCGGACAGCAATTCACCAGTGCATTCGCGAGGCAAATTCCGTTTACCTTCAAGGGATTCGTTGAAATGATGTGGAGCAAATCTGAAGCAGAACATGAAAGTAACTGAAGCAGAACAAATGAGAAATGGCGCAATCATGTGACGCTACGTGATGGTTGTGTCGATAGAACAGCTGAGATTTGATTAGGGAGCAGACATTAATCGTGATGATGATCGGTGTTATTATCCAACACTAAATTCGGAATGCCAATGAAGGCCATAAGTCGACATCAGCCTAACAAGAAACAGGCGCCAAAATTGCAGTTCAAGAACTACAACTTCCCACGTTACACGCACGTGGGACGGTTAATTTAACTAACTTGTACGTCTGATGGTGAAGTCAGCTTGACCAATTCTTTGACCAGCGAATCCAAATCCTCGGCCGAACTTCCGCCATCTCCAACGGCCTCCACCGCCGCACGGCTCAGCTCCTTGGCCCGCTTCCTCTCCTCCCGGCCCTCCTCCGCCATCAGCTCCGCCAGCTGCCGGGCCAGCTCGTCCGAGTCGGGCACCGAGCTCTTCCCTTCGCACACCCTCACCGCGATCTTCACCTCCTCCACCAGCAGCGTCGCGTCGACGAACTGGTCCGCTCCCATTGGCCACGTCAGCATCGGCACCCCGGCCACGCTCCCTTCCAGCACCGAGTTCCACCCGCAGTGAGTCAGGAACGCGCCGACGGCCCGGTGCCCCAGTATCGTCACCTGCGGGGCCCACCCCCGAATCACCACGCCTCTTCCCGCCACCCGATCCTCGAACTCCTTCGCCACGTGTCCTCCTCCCCCGCCCTTCACGCTCCACACGAAGCGGACCCCACTCTTCTCCAATCCCGAAGCCAGAGCCGCCGTCTGATCCGCCGTCAGCACGGCCTCGCTCCCGAAGCAGACGTACACGACTCCGTCATCGGGACACGTGTCCAGCCACGCCTCGAGGTCGGCAACCGAGACAGAGCTGGCCCCACCTCGATCCTTCCCCCGATTACCGTCATCGGGAGGAGGGAGTATAGGTCCGACCGCCCACACCCGATCGTGCCCCAATTCCTTCCTCAAATAGTCCAAATACCTGGATTCCAATCCGCGGAACGAATTGAAAACAGCACCCCAGCTTTCCATATCGGCGAGAAACCCGTCCCTGACGAATTCGGAAACAGAGTCGCCGGCGACGTAAGAGCGGTACATCGGGGAGAGCTGGGAGGAGGGCCAAGTGGGGGAATTGGGTAGGTTGGTGAACGTGAAGGGAGAATCGGGGTTTTCCGGGAGGCTGGGCATGTATCGCCAGAGGGAGTAGATGACGGACAAGGCGACGGCGGCGGAAGGGGAGAAGACGACTCGAGGGATGCCGAGGTCGGCGGCGAGGCGGTGGGTCCAGCCGAGGAACATGTCGGAGATGATGGCGGAGGGCGGAGACGGGGTGGAGCGGAACCAGCTGAGGAGAGGGGAGCGGAGGTCGCCGAGGGCGGCCATCATGAGGACCTGGACGCCAGAGCTGGGCGGCGGGAAGTCCTTGGTGTTCTCGACGCCGGGAGGGATGGAAGGGTGGGGAGGGAAAGGGAGGGTGAGGGATTGGATTACGGTGGGAGGGTGGCGGGAGAGGAGCGGCTGGAGGAGCGGGAGGTTTTTGGGGGTGACGAGGATGGTGATCTTGAGACGGCCGGCGCTGCGGACGGCGAGGTGGTGGGTGAAGTCGAGGAGAGGGATTAAGTGGCCTTGTGCTGGGTAAGGGAAGACGAGCACGTGCACCGGTTCGTTTGATTTGTCGGTATTGGCCGCCATGGCTGTGTTGTTTTTTGGAGAAGGAGGAAGAAGATGGTGAGAAGGGCAGAGATGGGGATGGAAAGAATGGTCGACAGGGGGATTGTGGATGCGTATAATTGGAGATCCGAATTTATGGGGATCGTTTTTCTAATTGGGTGAAGTACAGCAGAGAGAAGGAAAGGGTGTCGTTTTTTGATTGAGTTAGTAGAGGGGCTTTGTACATTCAAATCAATCGTAGGGCAATCTGGAACATCTTATCTATTGAAATGATGAAGGACGATAAAATACTTGCTAGCCGCAAATATCGGTCTTCATTGACAACCGCTATCCGGTTCAATATAGGGCGTATAATTATAGTAATCAAATCTGAACTATTTTTTTAAGTGATTATATATCTAAAAGTGGAGAATTAAATGAATTTATTTTCCCTAGTTTTGTTGATTAAATAATATATTCTTCATTTTAATTCGCATTTCAATTTTTTTTCACAGATGGAACGAATTTGTTGTGTTCTACAAAATTATATCCATTTTCAATATTTTTTGAGAAATTGTTTTTCATACCTGTCGTTACCAACTCCATACCATACGGTATCTCCTTCGGTTTTAAGTCGTTTTCGAAATTATTTGCACAGAAGGAACAGTTTAATTATGATCTATTGGATTCCAAATTTTATGGGTGAAAAAATTTCATAACTCTCCTTACCAACTCCATACCATATGGTATGCTGTTATTTAATACCAGTCAATACCATATGGTAGAGACTGGTAATAACTGGCAAAAAATTATTATTCACAAAAATATCAAAGTGGATATCAATTTGAAGAACACAATTAATCTGATTTAACTGTGCAAAAAATTAAATTTCAAGTTAAAACGAGTGAGAATTCGTCTGTTAAAGATTAAAAAAAAGAAAATTAAAGGTTTTTCAAGGAGAGAGAAGAAGGTGCTGATGTGGCAAAATTTTATTAGGTTATGCATGGTTTATAGCATCATAAGGTTACTCATCGGATTTGCTCTTCATAATTCCATATCTATGATTTTCAGCACCCATAATTAATTAAGAAGCTAAATTTACTCTCTATACCTGAGTTGAAAGCTCTCAAATGACTTAACACACACGATACATGACTCAAGTGCAACAATTCATATCTAAAGGACTCGCGCTGAACTTTGGCAAACAACAAATTTTTTATTTACACGAACTAATTTGTGTTTCCGCCACCTAGTCCCTCATAATTACAACTTCTTCCTTTGAAAGTTCCATTAGAAAGTGAAAGTGAAACCGAATAACAATATGTTTGCTCTTTCCATGAAGAATTGGATTCTCTTCGAAAACTTCATAGAATTGTCATAAAAGATCTTGGTTGCTCCTTCATCACTCCTCCCTCACCCTATTTTATTCACAATTCTTCTTAGCCACTTACATTGAACATCACAATAGAAGGCATCAACAAATTCTGCTTCAATAGTTGACAATGTGACCACAAACTGCTTCATTGAAGCCCAAGAAGCAGATCCTCTGGCAAGAAAATGACCAGCTGATTTTGGGTGATCTAAACTCTTAATAACTATCTCATTTTTCCAGATCACTCATTTCAAATTCAGCATTTATAGACGCTTTGAACTGTGCAATAACGCCAGGATTGCTACTGTTAGATAACATCATCTACATATATATGAGGTTAATATTTTTCGCCTAGCGGAACTTTACACATATTCAACATCCTAGCAAATCTTTTCAATCTATTACTTCATGGCCTCAACTATGCATCAAATTTAATAAATTGGCTCATCCTAAGTGTTGACCGTTATATTTGACAGTCAACCTGCCAAGTCACTGCCTAATCAGCATATATCTAATTTTGAATTGTTATAATTAAATTAAATAAAAAACAGAATATAAAAAAAAAGAAATAAATATTTGTTTTATTTTAGAAGAAGGCGGCAGCAAGGCTTCATCGTTCACCATCACCGGCGGAAATTGACCCCCCCTCCACACACAAAATGGCTTAGGATAAGGTAAGTAACCAATGGTTACTAACCTATGAGTAACTAAATTTGGACCTTTAGATCTAAGCGAACCAAGAAAATTCAAATCTAAGGGTTGTCAATTAAAGACATTTTATTTTTCCTAGTTTTCATAATCGTCTCTTATCTTCTTCGTTTTAACTCGGATTTCAATTTTTTTTGCACACATGGAATGAGTTCGTTGTGCTCTACAAAATGAGATCAATTTTCAATATATTTTGAGAACCTTTTTTTTACCAACTACATACCATATGGTAACTTCTTTGTTTTTAAGTCGTCTTTGAAAACGTTTGCACAGAAAGAACGAGTTCATCATAATCTATTGGATCTACAAATTTTTGGGTGAAAAAAATACTGGACCAAAGCTTACCATACTTTACCACTATGGTATGTGAGTGATAACTTGTGGTAAACAATGATGAAAGTCGTAAATGACAGTTAGTATACTCCTACTATCATGTATTCAACCTTCTTACCATATTGATATGTTCATACCATCATTGTACGCTTTCTTACCATATGGTATTAAATACGAGCATACCATATGGTAATGACTGGTAAAAAATTATTCAATTGTTTTTGTACTAAAAATATATCAAAGTGGATATCATTTTAAAGAGCACAGTTAATCTGATTTATCTGTGCAAAAAAAAAAATTAAATTTCGACTTAAAACGAGAGAGAAATCATCCGTTAAAGATTAATGAGGAAAAAAATAAAAGACTTTCCAGGAGAGAGGGGATGCTGGTGTCATGCAGATGTGAACAAATTACTGATAATTACTCACGATATGAGTTATTGACCCGATCCGCTCCAAAAAACTACAAACAAAGAAACCAACAGACACCAAATGTAAAATTGGATGAGAATTAAGAGAGACGAAGGTTTAACGTGGTTCTTCCTCACAGTATGTGAGGCTTACGTCCACGGTGAATGATGGTGATTTTATTGCTTGTTGTGGCCGATGGCCTTACAGCTGTTTATATACCCTATTCTACAAGTATCATCTAGGGTACAGCTGTTTCTACGATTACAAGGAGGAGAAGGAGTCCAACTTCTGCACGTCAAAGCTGCCAGTGCATGGGCCACTGCATGGGCTTGAGGGGCGACATTGGAGACGGCCTTCTCTGTCTTCTCTGGTGCGGCCTCTCGGCCCAATACTCCCCCACAAGCTGAGGCGTGGAGATCTTGAACACTCAGCTTGGACAGGAGGAAGTGAAAACGCTCTGCACCTAGGCCTTTGGTGAACAAGTCAGCAAGTTGAAGTTCTGTACGGACTTTGATGGGGAGAATATCGTGAGACTGGACCCGCTCACGGACAAAATAACAATCCATCTCCACGTGTTTAGTGTGCTCGTGGAAGACTGGATTGTTGGCAATATGGACAGCAGCCTGACTATCACAGTGTAAAGGAGTGGGACGAGTTTGCGGAACACCGAGCTCACTGAGAAGCCACCGCAACCACAAGATTTCACTAACTGTGCTAGCCATGGCACGATATTCAGCTTCAGCTGAGGACCGAGCAACCACCCGTTGCTTCTTGGTGCACCAGGAAATGGGAGCACCGCCGAGACTGATGAAATACCATGTGGTAGAACGTCGAGTTTGCTCACAACCACCCCAATCGGAGTCACAGTAGGCAGTGAGCTGAAGTGGGTTATCAGTCGGGAAAAACAAGCCCTGTCCAGGTGATGCTTTGAGGTAACGGAGAACCCGGTAGGCTGCATCCAGATGCTGCTGGCAAGGAGAAGTGACAAACTGGCTTAAAATGTTGACGGCATAGGTGATGTTTGGCCGTGTGACAGTCAAGTAGAGGAGGCGGCCCACCAAACGCCGGTAAAGTGAAGGATCGGGCAAAGGATCTCCTCCAGAACGCGTGAGATGATGATTTTGCTCGACGGGGAAGGCGCTAGGACGAGTCCCTTTAACACCTGCATCCTCCAGAATATCCAGGACGTATTTGCACTGACTAAGAGAGACCCCCGTGGCTGTACGTGCCAACTCGATACCCAGGAAGTAGCGTAGGATGCCAAGATCCTTGATAGTGAATCGCTGATCGAGGAACTGCTTGACCTGGTTGATAAATGAGAGATCATTCCCTGCCAGGATAACATCATCGACATAGATCAAGGCTGTGACGAACGTGCTGCCTTTTCGATAGACAAAAAGAGAAGCATCGGCCGGGGAGGAACGGAAACCAAATTCACAGAGAGCAGCCGTGAATTTGTGATACCGATTACGAGATGCCTGACGAAGTCCATAAATGGATTTTTGCAAACGACACACTCTGGTGTCGCCAGGCTGACGAAAACCCTGTGGGATTTCCATATAGACCTCCTCATCGAGATCACCGTGAAGAAAGGCATTGTTGACATCCAGTTGATGAATATGCCACCCACGACTGACAGCAACCGCGATGAGGCAACGAACAGTAACCAACTTGGCAATAGGTGCGAATGTGTCGTGGAAATCAAGACCTTCAATTTGAGTATATCCCTTTGCCACAAGACGAGCTTTGTAACGCTCTATCGTCCATCGGGGTAGAACTTGATCTTGAAAACCCATTTTGACGCAATGGCGCGTTTCCCCGGTGGAAGATAAACCAAACTCCAAGTTCCATTTTTCTCCAATGCTGCAATTTCACGTGCCATGGCTTCACGCCAACAAGCTTGTCGAATGGCTTGATAAAAGAACCTCGGCTCATCCAGACGCGTTTGAGCTGCAAGAAAGGCACGGTAAGTGGGCTTAAAATTATCATAATTGACATAAGCAGCAATTGGGTATTTGACAAAATTAGTGTTACTTCCCTGAGACTGGTGGGAAGGAAGATCTGTTTCATAAATGGCAAGGTGTTTGGGATGCCGCCGTTCTCTATCACTGCGGCGGAGGACAGGGGATGTGGGCTGAGCCGCAGGCACAGGAGATGGGCTGTGCTCAACTGACGGGCGAGGGGAGGAGGATAGCCCAGGCAAGGTTGTGGGCTCACGCGGGCTGGAAGGAGATGTGGGCCCGGGAGAGTCACCAGATGGGCCTGCACTGGAGGAAGGCGAGATCGGGTCGATCTCTGATGCTGTGCCGGTCTCCACTTCAGGATGCGAAGAGCTGGGTGCATCCGAGTCATGAAGAGGTGTTGCTGTGGGAGTGTCATCAACGTATGGAACTGGTGGTCGAGGTATCCAATGTAGTAGTTTGGTTGTACCATCTTGAAAGGGGAATGTACTCTCATGGAATTGAACGTCACGAGAGGTGATGAGCCGTTGAGCGGACAAATCAAGAATGCGATACCCTTTCTGACTAGTGGCGTATCCCAAAAACAAACAAGCTCGACCCCGCTCGCCAAACTTGTCAAGGCGAGCATGCGTATCTTTGTAATAAACCAAGCAACCAAAGACACGGAGATGTTGATATTTGGCTGGTTTACCGAACAGCTGCTCATATGGTGTCTTTCCTGTCGCTGTAGTGGGGAGGCGGTTAATGAGATAGACCGCCGTCAGAATGCATTCGCCCCAAAACTTCACCGGAAGACTGGCCTGGAAACGCAGTGCACGAGCAGTATCAAGAATATGACGGTGTTTCCTTTCAACGACACCATTCTGCTGTGTAGTATCTGTGCAAGAAGTTTGTAAAAGGATCCCCATGTGTGCATAATAATCTTTGAGAATATCGGTAGCGAATTCATGCCCGTTGTCTGCTTGTATCCTTTTGACCGAATACCCAAACTGTGTATGAACCATGCTGCAAAACTGCATCAAACACTTTCCCACATCTGATTTATATCGTAGTAAATAAACCCACACACCACGAGAATAATCATCAACGATGGTTAGAAAATAATGTGCACCACTTAGGTATGCAACCCTGTAACCTCCCCAAATGTCTACATGAATAAGCTCAAAACAAGCCGATTTTTTAATCATACTAGACCGAAAAGGTTCACGTGTTTGCTTAGCACGAGCACAAGGATGACACGGACCATTATTAAGAGTAAACTTCACCGATAATAAAGAACTAAGATAAGATGCTTTGTTAAATGATGGATGCCCCAGACGAGCATGCCAAATCGACTCCGAGATGAGACTCCGGCGTTGCACTGCACAGGCTTGCGCTCGTCCTGGACCAAACAAACGCAAGTAATAGAGACCATCACGCAGCTCACCCTTCCCAATCAATTTCTTGGAGCGTAAGTCGTGAATCACGCAAAAATTGTCAAGAAAGATCAAAGCCACATGATTATCTTTGGTCAGTCTGCTTATAGAGACCAGATTACAACGGAATTCAGGGACATGAAGAACTCTTCCCACCGTGAAACCTGTCTGTGAATCCACTGAACCCACATGTTTGACTGGAATGCTATCCCCATTGGGGATGCGGACTGGTTGTCCATTAATCGGAACTTCCTTACGTGATAACATAGATTCATCCATGGTAATGTGCTCATTGCAACCAGAATCTATTAACCACTCAGAATCGTAGGAAACAATACCTGCCATGTGTGCCGAGGGATCATCCGTCGGCTTGCCAGAGTATCCGAAAAACTGTTTGAGCTGATCGAGCTGTGCTAGAGTGAAACCGGGTACTGGGCTTGCCTTAGCCTCCACCTGTGAAGCCTTGGGCTCTCGGCCAGAACCCTCATTCGCTCCTCGATTCCTTCGACGTGGTGGCCTGTCGCCATTCTTCTCACAATTTTTGTCTCGGGGAGGATAGCCTATTAATTCGTAGCAAGCTTCACGGAGATGACCAATGTGCTGACAGTGTGTGCAGCGAGGTCTCTCCCGCTGCTCCCCCGTGCTCCGCTACTCTCCACCATTGCGCTGGCCTCTCTCGGTTTCTCCTTTGGCCACAAAAACCGCTGCTTCAGGTTGGACTTTGCGGTTTTGTGTGATGGCCTTTTGTTGTTCCTCATGCATCACTATGTTGAAGGCCTCGGCAAGGTTGGGAGAAGGCTTCATTGCGAGAATTTGAGTACGAACAGGACCAAAAGCATCCTCGAGCCCCATAAGGAAGTCATACAAACGAGCATTCTCCTGTTGTTCTCGAGCTCGGCGTGCTACTCCACAAGTGCACAAGCCACATGTGCAAACCGGGGAAGGTGCGATAGCCGCTGCCTCTTCCCATAGAGACCGAAGTCGAGTGTAGAAAGCCGACACCGTATGTTTTTCTTGCTGGAGCAGAACAATGAGTCGCCGCAGCTCGTAGGCACGAGAAGAGCTCCCTTGACCAAACTGCGCACGAAGATTGGCCCATATCTCAGCGGCGGTTTCAGCGAACCTAATAATGCTGCGGATTTCCTTGTCCATTGAAGTTTTGAGCCACCCTTTTACCATGGCGTCACAGCGTAGCCACGCGGTTGGTTCGGCAGGACTGGTCGGTTTGACGATGCTACCATCTACCAAACCGTACTTATTTTTGGCTATCAGGGCGTCTTTCATGTCAATTACCCATTCGCCGTAATTCGATGCCGTTAGGATTTCACCAACGAGCATATTTCCAGGACTGTCAGAGTTGTGAAGCTGGAGGGCGGAGGGGAGATCCTCCTCCGTTTTGATCGTCGAGCTGTGGGACGCTTCCTTGGATCCATCATCATCGTTTTTGCCACTCATGATTGATGGTCGACAAAGGAGACCACTGCACTGGAGCTTAGAGCTCTGATACCATGTAAAATTGGATGAGAATTAAGAGAGACGAATGTTTAACGTGGTTCTTCCTCATAGTATGTGAGGCTTACGTCCACGGTGAATGATGGTGATTTTATTGCTTGTTGTGGCCGATGGCCTTACAGCTGTTTATATACCCTATTCTACAAGTATCATCTAGGGTACAGCTGTTTCTACGATTACAAGGAGGAGAAGGAGTCCAACTTCTGCACGTCAAAGCTGCCAGTGCATGGGCCACTGCATGGGCTTGAGGGGCGACATTGGAGACGGCCTTCTCTGTCTTCTCTGGTGCGGCCTCTCAGCCCAATAGCAAAGAACAAAAGGGGTAAATCCCAGATTCCGACGTGCTCGAGCCCGACGTAATCCCCCTCGCCAGAACTTCTTCATGTCTTTGCGGACCTCGTACCTCTCGAAGTAGATCGGGACGTGCATCGTCTCCATCACCTGCTCAGCAGCGACGCCGATGGCGATCCCTGATGGCAATCTGCGACGCCATTTCGAGAGCTGACTCTAGCCGACTGCATGAACTGATCTGGTCCGCCGTCGCCAGGACTCCTGGCCCAGGAGTGAGGGAAAACGGCAGAGGAGCGGCCAATTTCATGAAGCTCTCGCCGATTGGCCTGATGAATCTTCGCCACCGTCGAAGGAGGAAGAGCCAGGGCTGTCTTGGACGACGGAGGTGTTTGTGGTGGTGGTGGGGTTTAATGGGTTTAATTTTTGAATTTATTTAATTATAATAATTAAAAATTAGATAATATGTGGGATTTGGTAAGGAACATGCAATGTGATTGATAACAACTTGGGTGGGATGGGATTAGGTGCTAACCCTTATAGGGGTTAGCACCGTGATAACTCGCAAAAAACGTTACTAAAAATAACGAAATCACTACGGATTATTATAAAATCAATACAACATCTACGCTAAATCACTACTAATTCAAACTAGTAGTAGTTTTTCCCTTGGTTAGTACGGTGCTAACTATTGTACAATTAGCACCGTAGCCGTTCCCCAACTTGGGTCCTTGGATTGTCGCAATAAGGCATAAAAAGCCATTTACTTTCTAAATCATTCATCCGAAACAACAGAAAAAGCAGTATTAGTTTTGCTGTTTAATCAACAGCCACACAAATCCAAGATTGTTTACTTGGTATAGTAAATGAGAATGAAAAATAAAATCCGAATTATATATTAGAAATTTGGTAACTATATCCTACCGTTTTCTCTCAGAAAATTGAAGTTTAGTTCATAATCATAGAAAATAACCAACAGATAATATTGGTTCAATATACTCAAATTCAAAAAACAATACGACAAAAAAAAATTCAAAAAACAAAAAAAAAATTACGAATAAAGTAACTCATTTCTCTAACTCTCATTCCACAATTATTCATATTACTTGATTCTCTAGATTTTTTATCTCGAGCGAGTTTGTGTTCTTTGGAATGTCATATTTTTTCTTGATTAAGTTAAAAAATTATAACACCCTAACACTATTTCTGATCAAGGTTATATATATATTATATCTTATAGATTTTTTTTCACTTTGTTGATGTGAGATTTATTTAATGTGTACATTAAATCTTCTTTCTTGTGATTCAACTTCCTTGTTGAGGTTTATCCTACCATTGTTTAAAAGAGACGTGAAGAGACTCTGACACTTGTAACACCCAACCCTTTTTATGATCAAGATTTCAAAATATTGTCCTCTTTGGGCCTAGTTTCACACAATTTTTTGCTTTTTGGTTCATCATGGAAACTTTCTAAGAGCTTACCCAATCTTTATATTGCTCCATACTGATTACGTTTAATTTTCATTTTTCGGAAGAACCCATCTTATTATTTAAAATCAAATTGTTTCTTATAATCCATGAATCTCTCTTACTTTCACTTCGTGACATAACTTTCCAATCTACGTTACATTGCTTGCTCTTTGTGTTTCTTTCAAGGTTGTCAATCTACGAGTCGACCAACGGGTTGATGCAAATTGACCCTTACCCGGAGAGGAAAACGGGCGTCACATCTGGATTGGAGGTTACACGGTGTCACATATGGATTCGCAGTGCTCAATGATTGAGGGTTCTGGCCGGCGAGTCATCGAGATCTGAGCTACGAGTTCCTCTCGAACAACCGGCCGTCGCAGGAGATGAGGAGTGTATTCGCCACCGTGTTCGACCACTAGTCGGAGGTCGCAACGCTGATCTCCACGGAGATGGATAACTACCTACCGTGGACATCCGAAGCGGGTTCTGTAGCAGCGAGCAGCGACCACGCCACGAGAGGGTCTTCAGCCGCGACGGCGGCGTGTGGAGACGGGGAAGGGAAAGCGTGTTCGGCGGAGGTAGTAGAAGAATTAGGTTTTTTTATTTTTTTTTACAGATGATGATAATTAGGTGGAATATATAAAATATGAAATATAATTTTTTAACTACCACATCATGCATTTAACGGTCAACTTTGAGAGTCGACTGCCACATCAGCCAAAGTTAACGGAGTTGGATGGAGAGTGACCAAACTTGAAACGTTTAACTAATGTTAGTGACCACGAATGGAATTAAATATTTTTAGTGACTAAACATGAACGTTTTTAGTAATCTCGGTAACCAACCTTGCAATTAACCCTTTTTTTCATTATGAATCAATGTCCCTTCAAGTTGGTTATGACTTACGAGGATTAGAGATATTCAATTTGAAAAGCAAAAGAACTGAAATTAGTCACTCATTCTCCAGGTCAATGGTGAAACCCCTGATGCTATTTAATCACAATTGAAAATCTTACATCGACACATCTCTGAAGTAGAGCTGTCAAAATGTAACCCAACCCGAGTAACCCGCCTGATCAACCCGACCCGCAACCCGATTTGACTAAAAGTCAATGACCCGTAACCCGCCCGACCTGCAACCCGATTGACCCGCAACCCGACCAACCCACAACCCGATTGACCCGCAACCCAACCAACCCGCAACCCGATCAACCCACAACCCGATCGACCCGCAACCTGATTAACCGGCAACCCGACCAACCCGCAACCTGACTAACCCAAACCTGTAACCCGACCAACCCGCAACTCGACTATAATAGAAGGAATTCGATGAAGATAAACCATAAGTTGACATTTGAAATTCTAGTTCACTAAAGTCTGATCATTACATCATCAATTATTGACTTAGTATAATAATATACATCATCAATCTATAATGAGTGTAATGGGTTAGGATATAAGGTATTAATAGTTTCTTACTCTATGTCATCAAACAAAATGACTATAGTTTCTCAGATTAACGCACATTAGCACTTTATATATAACACCCTTTATCAAATTAACGCCCATAATGACACACATATCAAGCTTTAACGCGAATTGGGAAAAACCCAAATTGACCACCATCACCAACGGGGCCCCTTGCACTTCAATAGACGACTGCGGATCTTTGCTGCCTATGTGAGCCACCATGACCTTGGCGTCCATGTCTACCAAGTCTGGTAGCAAATGCGATCCAGCCCCACAATGTAAACATCATCACTGATACAGCAAGGCACGCAAAAGAATTCCTAGTCAAGAAAAGAAACAAGGGAGCAGCCTTTGTAACTATAGGGTATGCTACTTTCTTGTAAAGTTGAGAGATTCCATACCTGATTTCTTCTCTGGCAGTAAGCATTATTCAATTCATTACCTTCTGGTAATTACTTTAGTTGCTCGACCACTTTGGCCCTTCCTCTTTCCTAATATTTGTTCTCGTGAAATTGAGAATCAATTAGTGCATATGGTAGGTTAGTTGATGATAGTGAAATCAATCTATATTTACTTCTGATTGATACAATCAACAATTTCCCGAAACAAAGAAGGGCAATTAGGGTTAGTTGATGATAGTGAAAAAAGAAACCACACAGTAATCTTCCAGAAAATTCAGGGGCAACTTGAAAATCACACCTTGTTGTATCATGCAGCCATACTGATCCGCCCAGTGTCACAAAACATCTCCACTGCCTGACCTAGGCGATATTGCGCTCTGCATACAGTGTGTAAGCTTATTATAATGCTAGGAGAAATTAGGTGAACGAATCAACTCTGAACCAATGCTAAGCATAATGTTTTCAAGGGTTCCAAAGACAAGAAATGGATTAACTAAATGCCAGATTCACTGTGAAAGTATACATAGTTAATAGCATAAACTGGGCACAAAGACAAGCTATAAATCAACTGCATTTTGCACCTCAGGTTTGCTGTCCAACTACAAACAGAACATGCCAATTGCATGAAACTCTCCAGGAAACAAACCCAGGTTTACTAATATCGAGTATGGCTGTTACGCAGAGCTCGGGGGCTATTGATTTGTGGCGGAGCTGTTAGCTGAAGCTCCTGCTATAAAATTAGAAGAAATTGAGAAATTATGACCTAGATTCCTAAAATCAAACCAACCAAAAGTTGTGCATGTCCTAACCACCATTATTTTCATCAGAAGTACTCGTCGGGGATGACTCCTTCCTCCTCGAGGTTTAGAGCCGAAAGCCTCTCCACGGCAAGGTGGCCTCTCTGCCGGAGATATCCAAAGTGAGCGTGCTTCCTTCCACGGTCAATGCCCCTTAGACAAATCAAGAAAAATAGAAAAAGTAGATTAGAACCCTAAGAACCAACAATAAATGAATCAAAATCGAGCATGCATTAGGTTTTATTAAGTTCGTCTTACCTCAGCAAAAGCCACTGGCGTCGTTTCATTCCCATAAATCCCATCGTACAATCGACCCGGAAAAGAGATGTAGGGAGAAATCAGATTGAGTAAAGAAGAGGGAGATTAGGTTACCTTCGGTTTGTATCTTTTATTTGGGCGGAGTTTGACTCTAGGAAAGGAAGAGAGAAGTAGAGAAGAAGGATCCAACTTTTCCTATCTCTGCAAAAGGAAGAGAGAACGAGAGAATGAAAAGAAGGAAGCTTTTCTTCGTATATGGGAAAGGAAGACAGAACGAGAGTTTAATTTGGTTTAGAATTTTGTGGGTGTGAAATTTTGGGCGGGGGAAAATGTGTGGGGGGAAACTTTTTCATTTTGGTGGGAATTTGTTTAAAGAGAATTGTTTCGTTTTTTATTTTGAGAGCCAAAATTTCTTTCTTTACACTGTGAAATTTTTGTTTCACTTTTTCTGAAATCTTTGGAGCCAAACAAAAATTTTGGAGGCAATGAAAGTTTGGAGGGAAAAAACTTAACCTCCCTCTTACAATTTGGAGCACAATTTTTTACGAAAGAAATTACCACGATTGTTCACTGAAATTATCAGTGATTAATCATTAAACACAGGAAATGAATACTAAAAATTTAATAAATAAATTCCTGTGACTAGAGGTATATAACTAATTACAGGACTTTTTACCGTAACTATTAGTATTGTTTTTAACACAGGAAACTTCCCCGTGAATAAGATCCCGTGACTAGAAATCAGTTTTCCTGTAGTGCTAGGAGCTCCACAGAAGCGTTGGCTGCAGCAGTCCTTACCTTGGGTATCGATTGAGAGTATGATCTCTATTTGCTTCACTTCAAGCTACTAAAGCATTGGAGACAACAGTCCTTAATTACCAAAGATGGTCCAAAAATGGTCAACTACACGAGAAAATACGTATAAACCCTGATCAATTCTACTCAGCTTGATCGATGGAGAAACAAAAGGAATGGGTAAGGAAATAGCAGAGAGAGGAGAAGAGATTGTTGAGCATAGCTCAACCTTAGATAAGGACGGGGACAAGAAGCAGAGCAGTAGAGAAAATAAAACAAAATGGAACTAAGTGTGTATGGAAGGATAGGTGGGTTGTTTTATACCACATCGATGGTGGAAGGAAAATTTCACACTTCAGACAACTATATAAGATTGGTAGTTTTCGTAGATCAACTAAGTCCAGAAAACGTCAAATAAGTGGTCTTAACAATGGGCCGCAAATTTTGGTGTTTTTCTGGCCCAGTGGTGGCTCTTTTTGTGGCCGTTGTAAGGTATATCCTATTGGGCTCATCGTTGGGCTTTGGTTAGTCGTTTTTGATCGGTTAATCGGGACCCGCCATGTTTCGACCGATTATGGTTAGTTTAACCGATTAGCAGCTTTCGGTTGCCAACAATCAAGCCGAAATGTTTTAATAGGTTATTGGGCAGGCCGATAACGGGCACCTATACTTGCTTGTCAACATGTGTTTGTATGAGTTCTTGCTTGTGAACATGTGTTTGTATCCGTTTTACTTAGACAACCATAATATTATGATCTAATTTTACAAGTCTAAAAGTTTTAGGAGCAACTTACTGATGATTTTGTCTGTTTCATTTTGTGTATGATTTGAGTTTCTCTTGGTGCAGGTAGGGTTTGAGTATGTAAAAGTTATTTTCTTTACATGTGTTCTCTTTTTTTCTGTATTTATGTTGTTTGCTGAGGTAAGGAATCAATTTATTATTAAGTTTTTGGCGGTGATGTTACACAGAGCGAAGTTCCCCCCAATACTACTGCCCAAAAATTTGATTCCCCCCACCCGCCGAGACCCACCAATAATTCCCCCCTGTAATGTTTCCCAAAAATTTTGTTTCCCACCACCTTTGAGTCTTTTGACTTTGAGTATTGATTCCTTTTTTTTTTTTACAAGTATTGTGCTAGCTTCATATAGTTACGAATTACTAGTAATCACTAAAAAGTAACGCGATGTTCTGGTCCGTAAAACCCGCAACCTGAACCGCTCGACCCGCAACCCGATTGACCCGCACCCGATTGACCCGTAACCCGATTGGCCCGCAACCCGATTGATCCGTAACCCGATTGACCCGTAACCCGCATAACCCGCAACCCGATGAACCCAAACCCAATGAACCCGCAACCCGACCAACCCGCAACCCGAACCCGCCCGATTGACACCTCTACTCTAAAGGTTTCCTTTTTGTTAATTTATTCCTTAAACACGTGATTGATGAAAACAACAATAATAATTTGTTGTTATGATCAATCATCCAAGCAATTACTGATAGCTTAATCAGTAGTATACTTGTAACCAATGTAAAACTTAAAAACTTACGATTTTACAACGAAATCACGTTTTAAAACTTAAAAACTTACGGTTTTACACTTCTAGATCAACAAAACGCTTCTAGGTATAATCTGAGTTTTTCTAACTAATGTAGTTAAAAACTACACTTTAAAACTTAAAAGATTACAATTTTACGCTTCTAGATCACCAAAACGATTCTACGTATAAACACAATTTTGACTATATTACTTGTAACTTGTCCATATCACTGGATTCTCTAGATCTTTGATTGCGTATCATTTTGTTTATTTTGAGGATTGGATGTCACATTATTTATCTTCAACATCATCCCGTGAAATATTGCGGCTTTTTCACTCTGATAATCTCATAAATTGTTTGAGTTGCGAAAGAACTGTCAGTTTTCATTTGCATTTAACTAGCGGGACTTATATATGTTAGGAACGGAGAAACAACAAGAACGAGGTTACCGAATTTGGAGCTGAGTCGCGTACTAGGTCGCTCTCTTTAAGACGTTCGCGGCATTGCCCTCGATGCGCACGAAAGACTATCAACCGGTCGTCTCTAGGATAAAACAACTCCTCTCACTACTCGGGGTTTTGTGCGAAAACACGAGTTCTCTGAACACTCCCTCTATTAGGTTTATGCTCGTTGTGGTGTGTTTAGAGGGGCTAGGGAGGCGGCTATTTATAGGAGCCGAACCCCTAGGAATATACCCTCTTGCTTGGGGAATAAGTCGGATTAATTAAGGAAGATAATTACTTACTTAATTAAAACCGTCGGTTAAGATAAACCCTACGGGATTCTCCTTCAAATATTCCTTTTTAGTCTATTATCCTTAGAATATTCCTCAGAATAACCGATTAATAATTAATTATTAGATAATTAATTTTGTTCGGAATTTCTCCAAAAATATATATAGTCTCAAGTGAACCAATCAACCAACCGACCGAACGACCGGCCGGTAGGTCGGACGGCTCGTGCGTGCGCTTGTGTGTGGTGGTCCGTTAGGTCCTCCCTCTACCACAAAAGTGGGTCACCCCAAGGGGCATGCCCTTAGGAGAGAGGCTCCTATCTTTATACACATTTCACCAAGTAAAACTACCAATGTGGTAGTTTTTCCACTTGAGACTCTATAGCTTTCAAAGCTATTTATATATACACTTCCAACAATCCCTCACTTGAATAGTTTTGAAACTATCTCTGAGCATCAACAGTTCCATAAGATCGGGCAGAAGCTAAGGTATCGCGAAGATTTGAACCTTAGCGTAGTGGCTACACTTCCGATTTCATAAGGGTGACTCGTAGTATTGAGCCCTATCTCAGACAGTGTAGCACACCGAATCTTTTCATTGAGTTGTGTTCTCTTCTTAGCCCGTGCGTTTATGGCCATGAACGTTATCCTGGTTTAGTGAACGCTCTAGCAACTTTGTGCCTCCAAAGTTCCATAGGGAGCAGCCCCACTCCCACATTCACATAGATGAGTCTATCAGGAGTACCCCCAAAGTAAAGTACTCCACCCCACATAGGTTATAGATCTCATTAAGAGTTATTAACTCAACCTCCATTGCTTTGGGATTCATGCTTCACTATGCATGAAGTTTTCGCATACTACTCATGACTTGTTATTACCCATTGAACCCATTTCTTGGGATCTCCAATCTATTGGGTCGGGTTACCATAACTTGTAGTCCGTGGTTCGATAGGCATAAGTCCCATACTCTTGGCGGTATTATGGACTTTCTCTCTAGGTAATCCTTTCGTCAAAGGATCAGCTAGATTCTGTTCGGATCTTATATGATCCACCCTCACTGCTCCTATCGTTAGGAGTTCTCTTGCAGTACTGTGCTTACGATGAATCTGTTGTTTCTTTCCGTTATAGAACCGGTTCTCAACTTTAGCGATAGCTGCGGTACTATCACAATGGATCAATACCAGAGGGACCGGCCTTTCCCATAGGGGAATCTCTGACAACAATCCTCTCAACCAACTTGCTTCTTCACTAGCCGTTGCTAGTGCTATCATCTCTGATTCCATAGTTGATTGAGATAGGATTGTTTGTTTCTTTGACTTCCAAGACACAGCTCCACCAGTTGCCTTGGAGTCATCTGATAGGGTATTCCATTCCGCATCACTATACCCTTCTAGTACAACAGGAAACCTTTGATAGTGTATACCAAGGTTTGCTGTTCTCTTGAGGTATCTCATGACCCTCTCTATAGCATTCCAATGCTCTCTACTAGGACAACTGTTAAACCTGCCAAGCAATCCCACGACATATGCAATGTCTGGTCTAGTGTAATCCGCAGCATAACAGAGACTGCCAATGATGCTAGCATATTCTGATTGTCTTACACTGTCTCCAGTGTTCTTAAATAGCTTTACACTAGCATCATACGGAGTACACGCAGGTTTACAGTCGAAATAGTTATATTTCTTCAAGATCTTCTCTATGTAGCTAGATTGATCTAGAGAATAACCATTTGCTGTTCTGGTTATCTGGATTTCAAGCATAAACTTTGCTTCTCCCAGATCTTTCACCTCAAAGCTCTCTTTCAACATGGCTTTTGCTTCATTGACCACATGAATATTTGTACCAAATATCAACATGTCATCTACATACCAACATATGATAGTGCAAGTATTATTTACTGACATGCTGTAAATACACTTGTCACTTTTATTCACCTTAAAGCCATGTGAGAGAACGAGAGTGTCAAACTTCTCATGCCACTGTTTTGGAGCCTGTTTCAAACCATATAATGATTTGTCTAACTTACAGACTTTCGAGGCATGTTCGGGGATAACAAACCCTTAAGATTGTTCCATATAGATTTCTTCATCCAGATCACCGTTCAAAAAAGCGGTCTTAACATCCAGTTGGTGTACCACGAGATTGTTCGAGACAGCAAGAGCAATCATTACACGAATGGATGTTATTCTTGATACTGGTGAATAGGTATCAAAGAAATCTATATTCTCTCTCTGCCTGTAGCCCTTAACTACTAGGCGAGCTCAGAACCTTTCGATTGCACCATCAGGTTTCCGTTTCGTTTTTAGAACCCATTTATTACCTAAGACTTTGCAGCCAGGAGGTAAGTCTGTTAGATGCCAAGTCTTATTAGCTTCTAACGATTCCATTTCATCTATAACGGCCTCATTCCAAAAATCTGCATCTATGGAAGTTAATGCTTCCTGCAAACTTTTTGGATCTTCGAGGGTGTATACTGTAGTAAAGTCATCACCAAAATTTTTAGAGATTCTAGCTCTTTTACTTCTTCTGAGTTCATCCTCAGAACCAACACCCCCACTAGTTCTGTTATCTCTAATAGCGGGTAGTACATTACCCCCACTATTTCTCGTTTTAAATCGAAATCGTATCTCAAAGAAATCAACATCAATGGATTCTATTATAGTACGAGCATTCAAATCATAGAATCTATATGCCTTACTATTGGCCGCATAGCCAACAAAGACACATTCATATGCTCAACTAGCCAACTTAATCCTCTTAGGATCCGGAATTCTTACGTAGGCCAAATAGTCCCACGATCTTAAATAGGACAGATTAGGTGGCTTATTCTTCAAGATCTCATAGGGTGATTCTTTTCTATTTGTTTTTGGAAGACGGTTTAGCACATAACAAACCGTCAACAAAATATCACCCCACCAAGAAGAAGCAGCTCCAGAATTGAGCATAATAGCCACAACTAATTCTGTAAACGTCCTATTTTTCCGCTCAGCTTTACCATTCATTTTTGGTGAATATGGTGCCGTGGTTTCAAGAATGATACCATGTGAGCTATAGAATTCCTAGAAGGGATTAGAGTCATACTCTGATCCTTTATTACTCCTAAGCCTTTTTATCTTTCGATTGCACTGATTTTTCAAATTCAACCACAAATACCTTGAACATGTCAAGGGCTTCACTTTTGTTTTTCATCAAATAAACAAAGCAATAATCAGAGCAATCATCTATGAAAGTGATAAAGTATCTCTTGCCAGACCTAGTTAACGTCCCATCTAGTTCACAAATATCAGAATGAATCAGATCTAAGGGTTCTGATTCTCTACTCACAGATTTATGAGGCGTTTTCCTTATTTTTAGCTTGGCTATAGAAATCACATTTATCAAATTCATTCATTGAGAGTTTAGGGATATGTCCTAGCTTGCTTAAATTCTTCACAATTCGTGGGTTCACATGACAAAGACGAGCATGCCAAACATTCAAATCACACACCATGTAAACTGAAGAATTCATCTTATTAATTTCGACAGTCAACTTGAACATCCCATTACATGCATATCCCTTTCCCACAAAACTCCCATTCTTAGTAAGGGTATACAAGTCTGCCCCAATAGTTTGATTAAACCCAGCCTTATTAAGAAGATATCCCGAAACAAGATTCTTCCTTATCTCTGGAATGTGCAACACATCCTTGAGCACCATCTTCTTCACAGAGGTGAAGTTCAGCTCCACTTCACGAGAACCAGCAACCATAGTGGTGTGAGTAGTCCCCAACAACAGTTTCTTGTCAGCAGGTGCTTCTGTGTATGTTTTAAACATAGCACGATTGTTACATACATGCTTCGATGCACCTGTATCCAGCCACCGGTTAGGTTAACTTCAGCGATCATATCCGTGATCATGGCTATCAAATCCTCTTCTGTCAAGTTAACCCAGGCCGCAGCGGCAGGGTTTTGCTTGTTCCGGCACTTTTTTGCCATATGACCCGGTTTTCCGCAGTTATAGCAGATAAACGGTGGGTCATTCTTAGAGGTTTGGGCCATGACCCTTTGGTTACCTCGAGAGGCACCATTGTGGTGGGGGCGGACCTGCTGGTTCTTACTCTTAAACCCTTTATGGTTAGGTTTAAGAGCTCTAGGGGTGGGTCGTTTAGCTGTGACGACCATCACCACTTCTTTCATATCCTGCTTGCGGGACTCTTCCTCAATCCTTAGGCGAGTAATCAAGCTTTCTAATGAAAATTCTTTGGTTTTATGCCTAAGCATATTCTTAAAATCTTTCCACGAAGGGGACAGCTTATCAATAATGCAAGCAACAAGAAATTGATCGTCCAGAGGCATACCTTCAGAGACGATCTCATGAGCTATTTTCTGAAGTTCTTGGGACTGAGCTTCGACAGACTTGTCATCCACCATCTGGTAGCACAGGTAGCGGCTGACATCATACTTCTTAGCTCCAGCCTCCTTCGTGTCATACTTCTTTTAGAGCGCATCCCAGATCATCATCGCGGTGTTCTTGTTGTCCGCATAGTAGTCGTAGAGATCGTCTGCCAGGTCGTTAAGGATGTAGTTCTTGCACAGGAATTCATGCTCCCTTTCCTTAGCAGAAGCAACCCTCTCATCATCGGTCGCTTCTTCCGGCAGCTCGACGGGCATGCTGGTGAGGCAGTGTGCCAACTTTTTGGTCGTCAGGTAGAACTCCATCTTTTGTCTCCAGCGACGGAAGTTGACTCCAACGAAGCGGAAGGGTCCATTGATATCGACAGCACCAGATCCGACCATGTTGTTCTGTTCAGTCGACATAGCAGCAGCCGAACGTCTTAAAATTGTTAGGAATAGAACAACAACAAGAACGAGGTTACCGAATCTGGAGTTGAGTTGCGGACTAGGTCTCTCTCTTTAAGACGTTCGCGAAACTGCCCTCGATGCGCACGACAGACTATCAACCGGTCGTAATGAATATTAACCTTTCGTTACGTAATCTGTTAAATCATTACGGAAGACTTACGTAATGCTTCTACTTTAACTGCTCGTTACGTAATAGATTCATACTTTATATAACAGTTGTAAAGTGGTATTACAGAAGCCTTACGTAATGGATGGTCCTTTTACGTAATTAATATGAATCAAGTTACGTAATGTGGTAAGTCATTATGGAAGTCTTACGTAACACTTCTAATTTAACTATTACGTAAGAAATAACCTTCGTTACGTAACATTTACGTAATGAGCGTGTATTTTATGTAACAGTTGTAAAATGTCATTACAGAAGCCTTATGTAATAAACGATGATTTTACGTAATGAATATTAACCTAGCGAACGTAAAATGATAAGTCGTTATGGAAACCTTCCGTAACGCTTCCAGTTTAACTGTTACGTAAGACTTACAAGCAGTATGAAATTGTTACGTAATAAACATTACTTTGACGTAATTCGACCTATAAAACCTGCTATAACAGGTCAAAAAGGTCAAATTATAGTAACTTCAACACATGGTAGGAGGTAAAAACTTATGGTTTCTATAAATTTGTCGTTCTATAAACATAATTGTTATTTCTACTAAAAAGTTATTATTTTCATTTCAACTTCTGGGTTTGCTCAAACGACTATTACACCTTTCATCGTTCATATGCAAAAGCAATAGGGCAAAAACAAATCAAATCAGAATCACCTCAACTTAGGGGTCGTTTGGAGAACAAGATTTGGATCGTGGATTTATTGAATCCATAGATTTAGCAAAATGTTATGTTTTTTTGCTACTTTTTGTATCGTGGATTGTAACTTCAGAGATTGTAAATCTATAAAATCTAGAGATATCAAATCTCTCATAATTAGAGAGATTCTACATCTTGATTTTGGAGATTTTCTCCCTCCTTTTATATCTCTTGTTTTTTTTTTCATTTATCCCATTAAATACCCTTACCAATAAATTCTCAATATTTTTCGAGCCAATCTAATTATTTTGGTTAAGGATAAACCTGTTATGTGATTTCAAATGGTGTATTGATCTAATTCATGTATTTGTGAGATTAAGTCGTTTTTTTGGTTTATATAGAACTAGAATACATGCATTTACTTTTTGGAGGTCCCACCACAATCCCTCAATATTGAGGGATTTACAATCTCTACTTTTTGTTGAGATTCTTCACAATCACTCAATACTAACTTTTTTACCTTTGGAACAAAAACACAATCTAAACCTCCAAACAAGATATTTACCTAATACATCAATTGATTCAATCCATCAAATGATAATACACTAATTGTCCCAAATACATCAATTTGAAGAATCACAACTTCCAAACAACCCCTAACAATCATAGTTACCAAACAATGAACATTTTCAAATCTTGTTTCAACAATCCAGAGAGTTAAAATCTTTGAATTGTCTAGAATCTAGAGATTTCGACTCCAATTCTCCAAACGAGCCCTTATTTTCGATATAATTGTACACCTGGTCCATAACCATACAAAGCTGACCCACGGACGGAAACCTATGCCCTTAACGATGCCCCGTCAAATTTAACGGCACCATGTACGCAAGTTCCGTTTTTCTCAACTTTCCCTCCCTCCCTACGTACTAAATATAAATACCCCACGAGGCCATAACACCTTCACCATTTCCCTCAGCAATCCCAAGCCGGCGTCGTTCCTCTTCCCCACAGGCCTCAACCAATGGCGACCGTCGTAGAATCCCATTTCCCCTTTCTTCCCGCCTTCCTCTTCCCCGACTTACTGCTTTTGCTTCTTCTACCCATACTTTCCTTCCTCCTCCTCTCCCTCTTCCTACTCCGCAACCGCAGGCCGTCCGTCCAACTCCCCCCAGGCCCAAAGCCCTGGCCCATCCTCGGCAACATCCTCCACGTCGGATCCATGCCCCACGTAGCCTTCGCCCGGCTCTCCCAAGTCCACGGCCCACTCATCTCCCTCCTCCTCGGGACCCAGCTCATCGTCGTGGGCTCCTCACCGGAAGCAGCCAGTGAGATCCTCAAAACCCACGACCACGAACTCTCCGGCCGAAGCGTCCCCCACGTGTCCTTCGCTCGTGACCCGGAGCTGAACCGCGACTCCATCGCCTGGTCCACCCACTGCACGGACCACTGGCGGTCCCTCCGCTCGATGGTCCGAGCCGAGCTGTTCACATCCAAGGCCGTGGACCAGCAGTCGGGGATAAGGGAGAGGCAGGCTCGGGAGATGGCTCGGTTCCTGAACCGGAGGCGAGGCGAAGAGGTCCGGATCCGTGACGTGGCGTTTGCCTACACGTTCAACGGCCTGGCCAGTGCTTACGTGTCCAGGGACCTGATCCAGCTGGAAGGCGGCGGCAGCGAGCGGATGAGCGGGGTCGTGAGAGAGATGATGGAGCTGTACGCTGCTCCGAATATATCGGACCTTTATCCGTCGTTGGGAGGTCTCGACCTCCTAGGTTTGAGGAAGCGTACGGAAGAGTGCGTGGCGAAGCTGAGGGAGCTGTGGGACCCGTTCATCTCCCGGCGGAGGGAGGTCAAAGAAAACGGCGGCCGCGGCTCTGATCGTGACTTCCTGGACGCGATGCTCGACTCGGGGTTTTCCGACGAGGCGATCAATTACACCTTTCTGGTAAATCTCTTCGTCGTTTTCCGCGTAATGTAAAGTAAAAAGCAAAGCACAAGAGGTAGGTCCATCGGTTTATATTGGAAAAAGAGCCAATGTTTACAAGCCGTTGGACCAGCAATTCAACGAATTTTGATAAAAACACAGTTACCAAAACACATACTATCACGAGGGTATTTAGTATTTACGTTGAACCAATCACTAATATGCAATTTAATAGGTATAACCAGCCGATACTATACTATTTTCACAAATACTGCATTATATTTAGAAACGGAATATATGTTATTATGCTGTTAACTTTATGTTGATATGTGAATTCTTGTTACTGCTTGTAAACCGATTCTGTACCATAACCGAGCTAAAATTTTAAAATGGTATGACCAAAACAAAAATGATAGGGATAATGGTTTTGAAACCGATATATATTGTATACATATATATAACTCAACGTGGTAAATAATTATATTTGAGGCAAAATTATTGGATAACCAAACCATTTATTGTAAACCGAATCATAATCGATTATAACATACACTAAGCTTAGTCATAATCAATAGCCAGACCAATAGAATCGTCAAAACAGTCATATTAGCAGTTTAATTCATTTGTTTGGCTGATCATGGATGAATCATACCGTTTTCACTGTTGAACATGAAACTGGATGAACCAATATATCGATTCGACCGGTCCATCGATTCATTATATAATCATAATAAGTGTTCAAGAAAAGAAATACTATAATGTGATATGCGATCGATTATCTAGCTCTAGCTTGTCACCCTAACTACTCATTTGAATATTAATGAAATTTTGTATTATTTATTCTGTGAGAGAGTTTGAAAGGTATGTGAGAACTTCTTGGTGAGATGATATAGATTTAGAATTATATTATTTTTTGTTAGTGACAAATTGAACACTAAATTAGTGTGTTATATATGCCTTCTATGAAAATATAAACAATCCCACAAAAGGTCAATCATTGGATCTTTAAGTGTTAACTATTAAACTATAAGTTATGAATTAGACAAATTAAACGATTTCACAAATGGTTAATCAATGATTTTATACCCATAAAATTATTAAGTTTTCGATTCAACATCCAGTTTGATTACGAAAACAAAGACACTTAGAAATTTCGACAGGTAGTTTAGCAACACTAAAATTATATTGGATGTCAAGTGGTTAAGGATTCTTTTATATATATATATATATATGAAAGTCTGTATTGATCTACTTGGATCTTATAATAATTTATTTATGAGTCTATGTCAAGAAATATACATAAATAATATATATAGCGGGTCATGAAATACCTCGTACGCCACAAATCCTAAGATGAAGATTGAAGACATCCCACCAAATTACGAAAAGGGAAAAAGAAACGTGTTCCTTTCTAGCTGAAAAAACAAAAAAAACAAAAAAAAATATTTCACGCCGACCCAGCAATAATATAGTTCCGTTGTGATGTGATAACGATTGACGAATGACGACTGTTGATCAGGAACTGTTAGCGGCGGTATCCTACACAACAAGCTCGTCCATGGAATGGGCCCTGGCGGAACTCCTCAAGGACCCCGAAACGATGACGGCAGCTCGCCGGGAGTTCGACGACAAGTTCCCCAAAGGCCACGTCATCAAAGAATCCGACCTCGCCGACCTGCCTTACCTCTGCGCATGCGTGAAGGAGACCCTACGGCTCCACCCTCCGGCGCCGCTTCTGCTGCCACGTCGGGCGGCCACGGACTGCCACGTCATGGGCTACACGGTACCCAAGGACGCCCACGTGTTCGTCAACGTGTGGGCGATGGGGAGGGACCCGCGTTACTGGGAAGACGCGCAGAGTTTCGAGCAGGAGAGGTTTTTGGTGGGTGGTTCAGAGCGTGACGTGGATTACAAGGGCAGCCACTTCGAGTTCCTGCCTTTTGGTAGCGGGAGGAGGATTTGCTCCGGGCTGCCAATGGCTATAAGGAAAGTCCAGCTGGCGGTGGCGACTCTGGTCCACGGGTTTGACTGGTCGCTGCCGGCCGGGATGGCGGCGGAGGAGTTGGAGATGGATGAGAGGTATGGTGTCACGTTGATGAAGCTGAACCCATTAGTCGTCATCCCAACTCCAAGGGTTTAAGTGTGCATGGCAGCAGCATGGGAGTACTTCTACTTTACATGTTAATTAATTAATAAATGTCTACTTATGAATAAGCTTCTGCAGGTAATGGTTTGTATGTAACGTGTGCTCTCGATCTATTGTATTTTAATTGTAAGGAACGAAGAAGAGACATTTATGAATAGTGAATGTGTAGAGTAATTAATTCATCAAATAAAAACAACATATTACTAGCTACAAGTTTTCTTTTTGTTTGTATAAACAACCGTGATGTGTTTTGATCACATCAAGAAAGAATTGAATACATAAACATTCGTTGTATATATTCTTACGTACTATCCAACTAAATTTCTTTTATTGTATATAAAACTTCTCATATTACATAAAGGTTTAGTATTTGAATCCTATATACATTGGCGGAGCTAGGTTAAGGGTTGTGGGGTCCATGGACCCCAATTGGAAAATGAATATACATTAAGAATGGTGGATTTTTAAGATGGGGTTAGTAAATTTAGAACCACGGACCCCCTCTTTCCGAGAAAATGATTTTACTATCGAGTCAAACTTCGTATTTGATTATGTTTGGACCCCACTAAATTATATCTCTGGCTACGCCAATACCTATATATTACACCTATATGGGGTTATTGATTTTTCAATAAATTAAATTTTAAGTGAATCTCATGACAAAACCAAATAGTACAGACTCCACCGTTAAAAAAAGTCGCTTAACATTTTATGGCGCTAGCTCACGTTCTTACGAAGGCGCATATGGATCAAGGAAGCTAGAATCAACGACACTTATTTAGCTGTTGTGGGAAGTCCCGAGCACACCTTGCGTCTAGAGCCTTGCCAAACATTTAATTGTGAGTGCATTTCAAGTCTAGAGTAGTATCATCTTTTTACCTTGCCAAACAAGACCTTCTACATTGTATACAAGAAGAAAACGTCGCATGCACGGTAGGAGTGTTTTTCATTAGTTATACACATCCTTTAAGAAATTGGTTAAGTATCATACATACTACATAGCCCTGTATAATATCCAACATAATTTTCTCCCAACAACTCGAGTTATTGGGAGCAACTGGTTCTTGACATGTTATCAGAGCTGATATGTCCTTGAGGTCATTTGTTCAAGTCCTCACGACCCCCAATAGTAACCGTTGTCTTTCAAGCACATGGTATGGCAGGCCTGTGCAAACTTCAAGCCCATGAGTCGGCTTTTGTTTGAGGGGACGTGTAAGGAAGTGGTTAAGTATCATACATAGGCCTGTATAAGATCTACCATAACCTTCCCCCAACAGTCCTCTCTCCCTACTGAGTATTGAGACACCTATAAAAGATAAAAAAACGTCACTTGGTTTCAATGACCGTTTCAAGATCTTTGACACATTGCATTCTCAGTTTATAAATATCTACTGTTATAAATGAGGAGCACTTCGTATTGTCTAACAATTATACTTTTCATGAACTAATCAACTATATTAAACTCGGTTATTATCTTGTACTAAATAAACTTTTATGTTAAGGCAATCTCCACAACTCAAATGGTTGATAACATACAAACATAATCACACGAGCTTGTCTCGTCATTAATCCATACATGGAATTTTTTTTTTTATAACTACGTGAATGACTCTTAATTAGCTCCGAAACAAACACCGAAGATTTCATAATGAACTTCGGTTGGGAACAAGAAGCAGAGGTTGTTCCTTCTGCAAGGTAATCCCAAACTTCTCACCCATATCCATCTCTGCCGGATCTTCTCCGTCGGGGAGGCACCAATCGAAGTTTCGAACCAAAGCAGCCAGGACCAACGGAATCTGCCTGGTGGCCAATGGCACTCCGGGGCACATCCTCCTCCCAGCGCCGAACGGCAGCAGCTCGAAATCCTGCCCTCTAAAATCCACCTCCGACCCAATGAACCTCTCCGGCTTGAACGACGTCGGGTCATCCTCCCACACCGTCGGATTCCTCGAAATCGCCCACACGTTGACCACAATCTGAGCCCCTTCAGGGACCGTGTAGCCCATCACCTCGCAACTCTCCGGTGCTCGGTGCGGCAGCAGCAGCGGTGCCGGCGGGTGTAGCCTCAGCGTCTCCTTCACGATTGCGTTTAAGTACGGAAGCCGACACGCCACAGATTCGTCGATCGGCGATTTTCCTACTAGCGGTGGCGACAATTCCGCCTTCAGCTGCTCCCGCAGCTTTTCCATCGCCCCCTTGTTTCGAATCAGCTCTGTCATCGCCCATTCTATTGTGGCCGTGTTAGTATCCGTACCGGCACTGAACAATTCCTGCAAGAATAACCAAAGCTCAAACTAATCTTGTGGTACTGTAGACCATAAAAATCGAATTGGAGTTTTCTTCTGAACTTACGAGACTCAACCAGTCAATCTGGTCATCATCGAGCCCATTTTCAAGGAAGATATCCAAGAAATCTTCAGCACCATATGGGTCTCTCCGCCGCCGCTCTCTCCTCTGTTTAACGTAAGGCTGCCAAACAGAGTACAACTCGTTGCAACGGCGAAACGCCTCGCGTCTCAGCCCCTGGGGATCCAATTTCTTCAGAACTGGGAAAAAATCGGCGAGATTAGGGGACGTCCCCAATTCCATCAACCTCCAGATCAGCGACTTCAATCGATTCGCCGTCTCGCTGCTTTCGAACCCGATGCAATCTCGCGACAACATGAGATTCGAAAGCGAGTCGAAGATAGCAGCGAAAACCACTTCGCCGATACTAACCGACTCCCCTAGTTTCCCCTCGAGAAATTCCACCATCTGGGCGACCTTCCTCTCCCTGACGGCGGCCTGAGATTCGATCGCCTTGGCCGAGAAGATCTGGTTCCTGAACATTGCTCGGAAGGCCTTCCACTGGTCGTCGTTGCTGCAGCTGGAAGCCCAAACGATCGCCTTGCGGTCGAGCTCCACCGTGTCGTAAGGCACGACCGTGGGGACATATCTGGCGGAGAGGAGGCGGTCGTGGGTTCTCAAGATTTCGGCGGCGGCCGCCGGGGAAGAGGCGACGACGAGGAGCTGGGAGCCGAGGCGGAGGGAGATGAGAGGGCCGTACAGGTGGGAGAAATGTTGGAGGGAGATGTGAGCTTGCTTGCCGAGGTGATGAAGGTTTCCGATGATGGGCCATGGGTTCGGGCCTGGAGGCAGCCGGTTGTTTGAAGATGCAGAGGCGGAGAGAAATCGGGAAACGGTGATGACGACGAGGATGGTGATGGAGAGCGGGAGGAGAAGAAGGTAGAGTACTACCATTTTGTTTGGAGACTTGATTTTGATAAATTGATATTGGATGAAAGTAATCTGCTGGACTTTTATTTATAGAGCCACCGAATCATGAACGGACAACCAAACAAAAGTAAAGGTGTAAACACTATCCAAGTATGTAATTTGTTATTTTATTTTGGGAATTGCTCTGCAAGTTCCATGGTAATAATGCTCCAACCATGAACCAATGATTTCCAGCGAGGGGAGAGCTAATCAAGGGAGAAAGGCATTGTGTTTACCACCCAACAAGCTAGTCGGACTCCTACATGTAACTTTCATTCCAATTTCGCTCCTTCTAGTTATTTTCTATCGGGTTTGTAAAATAGTATTGGACAGGCTTTTTATCTGGTATATTTTTATATAGGACTTTTTATCTGGTATATAAATGATGAATGGTGGTTCAATAAAAATTTACCGTGCAATATCGTTCTATAAACATATCACATAATATATTCAACTAGTATTATACCGATATTATGTCGTAAAACAGGCTGACATGATATTTTATTATATTTAGAAAATCTTACGATCAGCGGCGGATCCAGAACACAGTAGTGCACTGGGTCGCATTTTATTAGAAAATTAAAATAGTAAAAAAAATATAATTATTATAATTTTTTACAATGTAAATTGTACACATGTTTTGTTTTTTAATTTAGCGAATGCATTAATAATGGAGTCCACATCCATACCAATAGTATACACTGTTTCAAATACAAATTAATCTACTAATCAATTTGCATTGTGTTTCCATCCCTATATCCACCAGATGCTCTAGTAAATTTTCCAAGGTAACAAACCTCATATATGTTTTAGTCTTTTACGATTTAAATTTTTTGAATTTTTAGGTTTCATTGTTTTTTTAGACGAATAACCTTTGGGGTTAGAATTTATAAGCTGAATTTAGAGTAATGATTTTGAATATGTTCATCTGAATTATTTTTCTAATTATACCCAATCTTATTTTAAAATAACAACAACCCGAATATCTAAAATCGAAAAATTCATAATGCCTATACTAACTATGGATCCAAAGGAGGGCTGGGCCGGGGCCCGCGGTGGCCACCCCCGGATCTGCCACTGCTTACGATGCCATTTTAAATGGGGATAGCATGTTTTTACGAATTACGATGCACCCATTTGAGAAGGAAAAACTACAGTAAAAACTAGCTTTTGCAACCAAAGTTTTTACAAACAAGCTGAAATTGGTTGCAAAAAGGATAGTATATACAATCAATTATATTTTGGAAGCTAAAATATAATAAATTTGGTTGTCAATTAAAGTTAAATGATCAATAACCAAATAATACTTGAAGAGACCACATAATTTGGTAGCAAAAGGATTTTTACATTTTCCAACCAAATATTATTGGTTATGAATTTAAGCAGGAAATTTGAAAATCTTAGGTTGCAAATCCAATTTAATGTTTTCAGTATTTGATTGTCAATTTGTCATAGTGTTCTATGAAAATATTGGTACTATATCTAATATTATTAAAACATAGTGGCTATAGTAGTAATTATGTAAAACAGTGCCAATGTTGTTGAGGGATAATGCAACTTTGGGTAGGCTGCAAACGAGCCGAGTCGAGTTTTTGCTTAGTTTGAGTTTGGATCGTTTATAAATTTTTCCGCTCGAGTTCCCCTCGAACTCGATTTTTGATAATCCAGCTTGAGCTCGGCTTGAATGAAATAATCTAACTCGAGCTCGATAAACATAGCTTGTTAAACTGAGTACAAGCTCGACTCAAGATTAGCTCGATTTGAAATTATTTTTCCTAAAAATATATAAGCATAAGAAGGTTAAATGATAAAAAGAACACTGGAAACTAAAAATAACATCTAACATCCATACACATTTGTATTAGCAAGACAAGGTTCTTGTTCCGAAGAGTAATTGATCACTCAACAAGCTCTAAAGAGGGCAGCTCGCAAGCTTATCTCAACAAGCCACCAAGTCAAACTAGCTCACGAGTTTATCAAGCTGAGCATGGTCTAGCTCAAGCTTTGCTCGTTTACTAACGAGTTGGCTCGTGAAACGCCTTGTTAAATAATGAATCGAGTGTCGAACGAGGTTTTTTTATTTGAAATTCGAGTTTCTTGCGAGCGGCTTGGCTCATTTGCAGCCTTAGCTTTAGGAAGTCTCTGGAGATTAGCTGTCATTCAAGCGGTTGGATAAGAGACAAGGTTAATTTGATTCCATCCAATTTCTCCTCCTCCTCTTCTTCCGTCTCCTCATGTCAATTCCATTAGATTTCTCTTCTTCTTCTCGATTTCGGTTCTGACTTCAGCTTCTTCTCTTCTCACGTTCTTAATTTGATTTCGTATTTGCTTCCTTGAGGTCCGGCTACTCCAGTCTGCAGAGGAATCACGATTTTGAAGCAAGCAAAGAGTTCTTCTGCTTCGTTTGATAATTCCTCCCTCCCTGTAGATTCTCAGAAGGTAACTTCGGATCCTAGCCTATTTCTGATTTTTGTCTAACCTGAAGTTATTTGATTCGATAGGAATCCTATTTGCACTTTTGAGCTGATTCAAATTTTGATCCGCCGCCGATTTGTTATTTTTCCATATCGTATCAGAAGACTGAGTTCAAGAGGCGTACCTTGATTTCGAATTTGAACTTGGTTTCGATTTAGTCAATGTATTGCGGTTTACTTATTTAAGATTGGAGAATGGATGAAGGCGATGCGGACAACATGTATGAGGTAATTGTCAAAGACATCACAGAGGAGGAAGAGGGACTGCTGGCTCTTGTGGCGACAAGGGAATTAAAGAGACCTTCAAAGACTCCGCCAGTGGCGGCTAGAGCTCCCATGATGCAACCAATGGCCTAGGGCGTAGAAAAGGAAAAGTTGTTCAGCGCGGCTGCGCAAGAGGTGGAATGGTATGTGGCGGAGTTCGACTCTGAGGATGTTGTTAAAGCTGTGCGATAAGGTTTAAGTAGACCTCACATGAAAGTTTGAAAATCAGGAGATGTGTTGTAGGCTTGTAGCTAAAGGAGTGAGTACAATTTCAACCAGTTTATTTAATTTTCATCCCAATATGGCATTAGTTAGAGTATTTGGTAGATGTTTGAGTAATCTAATGCATGAAATACTAGAAGGATTCAAACGTGTTATGCGTTTACTAAATATGATAATTGATAAAAGCATGCATGCAAACTTAGCGTTCAGATAATTTAGAGTTCATTTTCGTGGTAAAAAAATGAAACTGGAGATCTAGGTATAGAGATTTGGGGAAGGAACGCAGAGATTAAGATACACGATGATTGGGGAAGATTTGGGGTTAGTTACTGTTGTGTGGGAAGCATCGTCCATGAAATCGTACTGGATATCGGACCAGAAAAGTCAACAGTATGATATTTTATGATAGATCGTAGTTTAACCTTAGTTCAACCGTTAGATCGTTAAATACCGTCTACCGATTTAGCCTCCAATATTGGTATTTTGTGGTTGAATCATCGTTGTGGTACAGTTTCAAGGACCATGGTTGGAAGTGGGAAAATTGTTCCAGATGAATCAATTGATATTAATAAAATATATTAAAAAGTTTCTTAGAAAGTCATTTGCTTATTTTTTGCCGAGAGAGCGTATCTCCTTTCATAACCTTTTTTATGTTATTTTATTTTAATTTTTTTCTTTTTAAATTTTTTGTGACTTTTGGGATTTTGCGTAAAGTAAAAAATAATCCAACAATTCCTTTTCATCTATACAATAAATAAAAGCTGAATAGAAAAACAGCAGGCCCCATTTCAAATTTCCTGGATGGATAGCGTTTGTAGGAGGGGTAGTTTGGGAAAGGTGGATTTTTTTCTCTAACTCTTCTGCGCGGTCGTAAAGGACAGTTCCAAAGAAAAACCGTGTTTGCAGCTGGCCTCAACTTGAACGGGCCCAAAAACTAATTCGGCCCAGCAACACACAACTACCCCACATCGTGCAAAGCTTCCCACCTGCCACCACTCTGTCTCGGCTCACAGGTGGTTATCTCCTCCCCTCGCACCTCTCCTCACGTAAAAGGAATCTTCAAACTGTACGACCTACGAACACCACGTTCAATCATCCTCACCTCAAACCTACTCCCTCGATCGTAGAAAGAACATTAACAGCTGGGGTATTGCTTCTTCAATTGCAGGAGCAACAACTATTCTTGCGGGGCGGTCAGGAAGCAATTCCACCGGTTGTGGTGATCCGAACTTCCTGCCTCCGATTGTAGAAATAGTTCTGTGTAGAGGTATGACACTCATAGAGGTAATTCCTTCCTGCTGTGAAACATGTATTGGGTTTCCTGTTCTTGCTATCGTAGCAAAGTTTCCTAATCTATGTTTTGTTTTTGACTGGCTTGCTAATGACGGTTTTTTTGTTCTTAGTGGAAGGAGAATCACCTCAAATGGACAACGGGATATCGACCAAGTTGCTGGACGGATTATTTTTGCTCCTTGATTGATTAGGTGGCGGGCATCATCAATTGCTTCTTCTTTATTGGCGCTCCTTCAGGTGCGTTATATTTTTGTTGACGGCAGAGATTTACCCGTTTAGTTTGAGCTCCTTCATTAGTTCCCTCCCTCTTTTTCTGCCACGATGAACGACCTCTTAACGATAATAAATTTTGCAACTTTCGATCATGTTAAACAATGGGTTTTTTTTTTTGCGAATTTATGGTTGGTTGCTGGTGCATTTTTGCCATTCTTAATTGGAGGAGGAGGAGGAAGAAGAGATGGTGGTAGGAGAGTGATTTTTCATTTCAAAAACCTTCTCATTCTGCTCTTATATTATGATTTCCCAACATGCTCTATTTCGTCCATTTGCTTACCGAATGTGTGTGTCATAGTGTTTCTCTGTTTCAAATCTCTTTTGCTTTAGTAAGGATGGTTGTCAATTATGTATGGTGGGTTGCTGAGCCCCTATTGTAACAAAGCAATGATGCCTCTATATGTATAAAGTATGCATGTCTGCCAAGTGTATTATTTATGTATCTCCCAACTCTTTCTAGCTTCACCTATTTGTGACTTCCATCTGCTTCTATTGACATTCAAAAGTCATTTACTTCTGTTTGCAGGTTTGTTATGAAGCTTAAATTATTTTTCTCACATTTTGCTGAATGGTTTATGTCAAGCCTCAGAAGGTTAGCATGAATTAGGGGTTCCATGTTTATTTCAAGTGCTCTCTCTGGTGTCTGCACTAATATTTCGTTTGGGTAACAATGCTCTGGAATCCTCTTCTCATACCCAAGGGGACTATTTCAATACATCTGATTATATTTATATGAAGTAATTTATTATATTTAGATGAAGTAATTGATTTTTTGTGTTTGTTGTTTGGAACAACAGGTGGGTGAATTTGGACCTTCAATTGTTGTTTCTGGTCCTCTATTGATGTAGTTATACACACCCAGTTATATTTTCTTCCATTATGGATACAAGTACATTTGAGTGCGGCGAGTCATCTGTTCATCTCTCATCTGATCCGAATACTTGTATTTAAACGTGAGTCTCATAATGGTTGTACGCTCACAAAGGACCAAAAATTTTCTTCCTCATCAGGTCAATGATTTGTGTTTTTCTTATTCTTTAGATACAAGGGTTGTAAGTATGCATGTGACTGCATCACTCAATAAACGGGTCCTGGATTCGTCGCATCCGTGTATGTATAGTGGCATCTATAAGACTGTAGTTAGTGTTGCAATATAAATACAAGAGTTCACTAAATTTTATCTATCTCAGGGAAATGTCGGGCATTATTTTACGATCCAGAAGATGAGGGGTAGCGCTTTCTCCTATCTGCCGAGGAAGAAGCAATGTTCGAAAAGGGTATGGATGAATACATACTCCATTCACAATTTATGTTTTATCATTAAATGTATAATGTAAAATTTGTGGTTAATTGTAATATGTAGAACAAGATGAGTTGAAAGGTGAACTGAATGCCCTGTCCAGATCCCTATCACAACTAGCACGGCAGCGGAGACATGTCATTTTAAAAGGGAAAAGAAGTCGTAGGTCATTCAATGTCCGGGATAAACATATGCAGCAATTTAGTGGTCGGTGTTTGTTGTTACTTTATAATCTAAAATGCAATTATATTCGACTAATTTTAAGTGTATTTCTAATGTCTTAGGTCCTGCGCGGTTGGAGAATGAGTTTGTTAATCTATTGACTAAACGGAATAGACTGTACCGGCGTATTCATTTCGCACAGAAGCGTCGACGTCAAGTCGTCTTAAAAAATCGGTCCAATCACAGTACGTGTTGTATATGGGCAAATCTCTGAGTTTGTTTACGTTATTTTTATGTATTTTCTGTGAATTGCACATTTTTTTCATATGTTGTAGATAAATATAATATGACTACCAATTGTTTTATTTTTTGCATAATGTATTTATTTAAGGTTCAATGTATATTTGGCATTATCAAAGGGCAAACATATAATATTTTTTTGGTCATTGTAATTGTTGTAGCACAATGTATCATCGTAGGGGTTTCCATTTTAGTATATGTGTGAATTAGCATTTTGGATCTCAATATCTCTTACATTAGCTTTTTTTTTTATTACTGTTTTGAAAATGTATGTCTATTAATTACTTTTTCTGTAGGTATATAATGTTTGAATTATACGAGGGAGTGTAATTAATTATGTACTCCCATTTTAGGGGAAGTTTTTGTATAATTGTTCTTATCTTATATAGCCTGGTTCTCAGACTAATTTATGTGGAGTAGACTTTATCAATTTTTATTTCGTATATGGACATTTTCTAATATGTAGCATCATGATATTCTCATGATGCCATAAGTTACGATTTTGACTAAATATTTATACTGTTATAGGCATTTCAATAATTGAGTCTTTCAATATTGGAGCTCCCTCATGTAGATGTCAACATTGTGGTGCTGTATTTTGGCGTTATGAGAGCACTTTGGCCACACAGAATGATTTTTTTCCTTCATTTCCAATATGTTGTAAGCATGGTAAGGTGAAGCTTCCGAATCGTAGAGATCCTCCTCAATTTCTCAAGACTTTATTGGAAGGTGATACTGCTGAGAGCCGTCATTTTCGTGCAAACAGTCGAGGTTATAATGCTGTATTTTGTTTTATTTCCATCGGCGGAAAAGTGAATCACTCCATTAATGATGGGAAAGGTGTCTATGTGTATTCTATTGGAGGGCAAATTTATCATCGAATTGGCAGTTTGGTTCCTCCAGAAGACGTTAGTCCAAAATTTGCACAATTATATATTCATGACTCGGATAATGAAGTGCAGAATCGCTTGGACTTTTACTCATCTGATCCTGATAGGAATCCCTTATCGGCATCTATTGTTCAAGTTCTTCAACAAATGTTTGATGCCTCTAATGTTCTGGTACGTACTTTTCGTTCAGCAAGAGATAAGATAGGCCAATATGGTGTTGATGAACTGTAGGTTAAATTATTGGCCAAGCGGGAGGCTAATAGTAGGGAATATGATTTGCCCTCTGCAAATGAGATTGCAGCCTTGATTGTAGATGAAACTGGGGATGAAACATTCTCCCCTGATATAATAGTTCAGCATTGTACATCTCAGATGGAAAGAATAAGCATGTACCATCCCAGTCTAATGGCTTTGCAATATCCAATTTTATTTCCATATGGAGAAGATGGGTGGCACCCAAGTATTAGTTATGCTCAGAATACATATGGGAAAAGTGGTTTGGAGAAAATGGTAACACAATGTGAGTATTATAGCTATCGTCTTCAAACAAGGTGTGGTGAATCAAATTCTTTGTTGCTATCTGCAAAATTGTTTCAACAATATGTCGTTAATGCATATGCTTTAATTGAGGCTGAACGTTTGGATTGGATGCGTAACAATCAGTCCAAGTTGAGAGGTCACCATTACCAAGGGTTGGTAGAATCTTATTTGCGTGGTGATAGTGATCTGAAGTTATCTGGAAAGCCGGTTATTCTAGCTGCTACCCACACTGGAAGTCCAAGATACAAATATGAAAATTTTCAAGATGCTATGGCCATTTGCAAATGGATTGGATATCCAGATTTGTTTATCACCTTCACCTGTAATGCCAAGTGGCCTGAGATTCAGCTTATGGTTGATTTGATTAGGGACTTCACTGGCCAGGATCCTAATCGTGCCGATGTTATATCAAGAGTTTTCAAGATTAAACTGGATGAATTCATGATGGAGATCAAGGATAAATAAATTTTTGGGAAAATACGTGCATGTATGTATCCTGCTTATAATATCTTATATGCTCTACTCTTTCTTCATTAACAATGTGATTAATTTTTCTAATTATTGTTGGTAAATTTTAACAGATGTTTTGGCAATTGAATGGCAAAAACGTGGACTCCCTCACGCACACCTACTCCTATTTCTTGCGGCTGAGAATAAGCCTCATGGACCTTCTGACATTGATTCTATAATATGTGCTGAAATCCCAAATCCTGATCTGGATCCTGAATTGTATACAATAGTCACGACTTCTATGATGCATGGACCATGCGGTGCCTTACGTCCCAACAATTCATGCATGAAGAATGGTAAATGTACTAAACATTACCCAAAGCAATTTTGCAGTCAGACTATAATCGATGATAACGGTTTTGCCAAATACCGTCGGCGCAATAATGGTAGGACATTTAACTGTGGAGGTGTGGAACTTGACAATCGATGGGTTGTTCCGTATAATCGATACTTGCTACTACGGTTTGGAGCTCATATTAACGTTGAATTTTGCAACAAAACAAGGTTGGTGATTATTTCGTATATTTCTACTATCTTTTCTAATTGATAAATTTTTTTTGCTTACAATATATATATACAGTCATATATGGTATGACACTTAATCAGGATTGCACAAATATGTCCATGTCTATCTTTGTTACACATGTTCCAACGATATAACTTGGGAGTTAGGTGTTTATTACTATAATTTTTAGTATTGTCTATACACATGTAATGTATAAAGGTCATACTATATGGTTTTGTATTTTCAGGGATGTGAAATATTTGTTTAAGTATGTCAACAAACCTGAGGACCGTGCATTGGCAACATTGACTGCACAAGAGCAAACATCTACTATTGACAGTGGCTCTGCTCCAAAGAAAGTTATCAAAATTGATGAAATTAAAGCCATCATGGATGCTCGGTATATAACTTCTGGTGAAGCGTGTTGGCGAATCTTTAGGTTTGATATTTACAATCAGTCTCCCTCAGTGTTACGTATGTCTTATCATTTGCCTGGAGAAAATATAGTATACTCTAATCCGAAATCCCGTGTGCGAGATGTTCTTGACTCCAATGGGAAAACAATGTTGTTGGCTTGGATGGATCTTAATGCTAAGTCAAGTGAAGCTCACAAATATACCTTTGCAGAGCTTCCACAATATAATGTATGGAAACAGAACGATAAAAAGTGGCAGAAGCGGAAGAAAGGGATGTGCATTGCATGATTGTATTACTGCTACCCATCTGCACAAGAGAGGTACTATCTGCGTATGTTGTTGCATGTCGTAAAGGGTGCTTCCAGTTATGAGGATATTAGAACTGTCAATGGTGTTATCCATCCGACATTTTAGAAAGCATGTTATGCACGTGGTTTGCTTGCTGCTGATTCAGAATGGAATGATTGCTTGAAAGAAGTTTCCTTTTGGGCAACAGGATATAAACTTCGGAAACTCTTTGTTAGTATTCTTATTCATTTTCAAGTGGCCGATGTCCAATCTTTATGGGATAAGAATTGGATAGTACATAGCGATGATATATTGTACTCCAGGAGAAAACAACTCAACCTTCCACAATTGAACTTGGATGAGGATAAAATTAAAGAGCTGTGTCTACTTTCGATTGATGAGTTATTGCATAAGTATTCAAAGACTCTCGCTGATTTTCCAGGATTGCCAATTCCTAATCAGTGTATGACATCAGTTGATATGAATAGGTTAGTTGCAGAAGAGATGTGTCGTACCTCCAATGAATTTGATTTTGTACCAGATGATGTATATGCGAAGCTGAATGTTGAACAGAGTTTGGCTTTTGACAAGATCCTACACTCTGTGAATACTGGTGGAGGTAAATGTTTCTTTGTAGACGGTTATGGATGTACTGGGAAAACATTTTTGTGGCGAGCAATTTGTATGAAATTGAGACAGGAAGGAAAAATTGTGTTGTGTGTGGCATCATCTGGTATTGCTGCTTTGCTAATGGTGGGAGGTAGGACAGCACATTCAAGATTCTGCATCCCTATAAGTTGTGATTCTAAGTCAACATGCCACATTGAACAAGGTTCAGACTTAGCAGATTTGATTAAATCTACTTCTCTAATTATATGGGATGAAGCACCCATGGCCCATAAGCATAGTATAGAGGCTTTAGACAAGACATTAGGGGATATACTAAATACCAAAAATATTGATTCTGAGAACATGGTGTTTGGGGGTATGACTGTGGTTTTTGGAGGTGATTTTCGTCAAACGCTGCCAATCATTGCCAAAGGTACGAGGACTGATATTGTAAATGCGTCTATTAAATGGTCATATTTGTGGCGGTCAATGATTGTTTTGAAGTTAACCCAGAATATGCATTTAGCCCAAGGTAATGATATGGTCGGTTCAAGTCTTGAGATTGAGTCATTTAGCAATTGGCTTTTGGAGATTGGTGAAGGAAGACATAGTAATATTTTTGGTGAATCAATTATCTCTATTCCAGCTGAAATATGTGTGGAACGAAAGTCAGATCCTATTTCTGATATTGTGGCGACAGTCTATCTTGATTTACTGACAAGACACAATGATGACACTTATTTGGTTGAGCGGGCTATCCTAGCACCACACCATGACACTGTTGCAATGGTTAACAATTATGTGTTAGGTATGTTTCCTAGAGAGGAGGTTACCTATTTCAGCTCAGATTCAATTGAGATTGATGCTAAGGATACACATGTCGTTGAGGGTGACTATATAGTGGAATTTTTGAATTCTCTCAGGATTGGCAATTTTCCTGAATATGAGTTAAAATTGAAGGTTGGCTGCCCCGTTATTCTCCTTCGAAATATGGAAGCACAGGGCTTTGCAATGGAACTAGAATGGTTGTCAAGCGGTTGGGCAAATGGTTTATTGAGGTAAAAATTCTAACTGGCACACATATTGGGGGGTTAATTGCAACGATGGTCACTGGGTTTACTAAAACCGTTCATGTTTGGTCACTGCAAATATTTAATTCCATTCATGGTCACTAAGATTAGTTCAATAGTTCAAGTTTGGTCACTCTCCGTTAGTCTCCGTTAGTTTTTGCTGATGTGGCAGTCAACTATTATAGTTGACCGTTAAATGAGTGACGTGGCCAATAAAAAATAAAAAAATAAAAAATTTAAATATTTACAATTTCCACCTCATTTTACAACTATTAAAAAATAAAAATAAAAATAAAACTTACCTTTTTCGCCACCTTTCTTCTCACTTTAGTCCAAACCGAGCAGCAACATATTGTTCTAATGGACTCCAATGTCATGCCAAAAGCCTTCCAATCTCCATACCACTGGCACCTAGCCTCTCTGTCGTCGATTTCGCAGTCAGAATCCCGTGCCTCCAAGCTAATCTACTCCTACTCCAACGTCCTCGATGGATTTTGTGCTTCCCTCACTGACCCGGCGCCGTCGCCGGCGGGTTGAGCTCCGGCCCCGCCCTCTTCGGGAAGAGCTGGTGGGTGGTCGGGATATTACCCTCCTTCCTCAAAATGTCGAAGGCGAATGCAGAGGAAGCGGCGGGGATGCTGTTGAGCGAGCGGGGAAAGGGTTCTATCTCGGTGTTGATTATGTCGGAGGAGGAATCGGAATCGTTGCCGTCGTTGTCGGGGAAATCGCGATTTGGGACCCGAGCGTCCATCATCGTCGATTGTGCAGACGATTCGGATGATGATCGGAGCTTCTTCGCCGCCGCGGCGAGGCACGGCGTCCAATTGGGGTGGAGGAGGATGTCTAGATTGATATCCGGAGCAGAAACAGAGGACGCCGAATCTAGGTTTCTAGGTCGAAGCTCGGAGGTCGAATATGGGAACTCGAAGCTTTCCTTCGTCCTCTATCTTTCAATCTCTCTATTTTCAGTGGCGGCGGCGCGTCGCCGACTAATAGACGGATCAAGCAGCATCCAGAAGGAGGCTAGACTTCGCCGTCGATTCGAGTGCCGCCTCCGCCTGGTTCTCTTCCGCTGTCGATTCGAGTGCCGAATCTCCCTTTCTTGTTCGTCGTCGATTCATTTAGATGGAGAAATCGAAGATGCCATTGGGTCGTATGGGGAAGACGATGGGTCCGGAATCACAATTTGGGTATGGGATTCAAATGAAAGATGGGGAATTCAATTTGAGGATCGGGTCTGGAATCCAATTTGGGTCAGGGATTCAATTCAATCTTGTGTCCATTGAGTCATTGACCCTTTGATTTTTAGGTTTTCGTCTGGGAAGAAGATGAAAATTGTAAAATAGTTTTATTTTTAATAGTTGTAAAATAAGGTGGAAATTGTAAATATTTAAATTTTATTATTTTATTATTTTTTATTGGCCACGTCACTCATTTAACGGTCAACTATAATAGTTGACTGTCACATCAGCAAAAACTAACGGAGACTAACGGAGAGTGACCAAACTTGAACTATTGAACTAATCTTAGTGACCATGAATGGAATTAAATATTTGCAGTGACCAAAAATGAACGGTTTTAGTAAAGCCAGTGACCATCCTTGCAATTAACCCCATATTGGGGATACAGTTTTCTTGCCGCGTTTATCGCTCTCTACTCATTACAAGAGCTTGAACTTCACACTGGTACGAAGACAGTTTCCAATTACATTATAATTTGCAATGACTATTAATAAGAGCCAAGGCCAGACATTGAACCATGTAGGAATTTGCTTGCAAAAGCAGGTGTTTTCTCACGGTCAACTTTATGTTGCAATGTCCTGTGTTACATCAAAAAGTGGTCTTAAGATTTTGAGTTCTGATTCAGAGGTTCGGCCTTTGAAAATGATGCAAAACATAGTCTTCACAGAGATCTTTGACTGAACCTTGGTACTGCAATGTTCAAGGTATGTCACATTATTTACAAACCACATCTATTAACCTTATGTCACAAAGTTCATATGTATTTTCTACCATATGAAAAATTTATATATTTCCCACTAACCTTAACATTTTTCCAAATCGGTTCGTGCAAGCAGGACGTTTCCAAGGCAATATCCTTTATCAATGATGGAGATGCATTACAAAACATGAAGGCAAGGCCAACCATGCACTTGTAATAAGTAGATGGCAAGCAACATATTTATCTATCTTTAACAACTCAATTTTTATTTGTAACTTTTTGTTTGCGGCCCTTGCCTCTACTTTCCTTTATAACTCTTTGCTGAAATTTGTCATTCTGTTACGAATTACTATATACTCCTACTCAGTGGTGGATCCAAAAATTTTGCATAGGGGTGTCCTTTCTTAAAAATTAAATTAAAGTAAATTAATAATTAAAAAATTATTAAATAAAAAATTATTTTATTTTTACGAAATACAACAATGCACATGCAGTGATAGTATTTTGGAAAAATTGTAAAATACAATCGTTATCTAACAACTGTCGATAAAGCCTACTAGAACAAGGGGGACTAGAGGAGTTCTTGATTGGATTGAATCATTAGCTATTGAAAATAATTGTAGATAAGAAATAGTTTTTTACTATTATATTGTCATTTAAAATATAATAGTAAATAAGTTGTAATCGAATGAAAAATATGTCTACTTATAGTAGCAATGGCCCAAGTTCAAATCACTTAGACTAACATTTAAATATTTGTATTTAATCATATGCAAACTACTACTTGGAGTTGGATAATCATTTTTGTAAATTTTATTGGAGTCCGGCTACCATTTAAATATTTTTTTATCGATATGTAAACTACTATCATGAGTTGAATAATCGAATTCCCAAATTTTAGGGGTGCCCCGGGACATCCCCAATCTCGATGAATCCGCCACTAATCCTACTTTTCTCCTCTACTAGATCCATCCAGCTTTCCAATTTTTATTTTGACGGATTCTTTAGTAAAAATGAGAGGATGTTTAGAAATGTGTTATAATCAATACCCGATGGTAAATGTTTTATCGTATGGGTGTCCGTAATGTTTTAGAGTCATACGAGTGATGAAAAATTTCAATATGTACTATATTCTAATTCTTGAATAGGATGTAGTTTTCACTAATAAATTATTTTAATGTATCCTTCTTTTTTTATTACTAAAGTTATTTATCTTTAAGTTCCTATTTTACCCTTTCATTCTCTGTTAAATAATAAGAGTTGCTTTCTTTCTTTTGCAATTCGAATCCTCAAAATGAAAGGAATAGTAAGATTTTTAATAAAAACTAACAAAGTCAGCTAAAAAAATCAAACCCCTTCATCGTCACTTATAGGTTTGGGGTTTACATTATTAAACTCAAGCCCACCTAATTATTCAGCAAAAAAACCTGTGCATTTTATATTGTCATTTGAAAGGCCTGGGCAAATTTTGATCTGCGTAGTATTGGGCCAAATCTTTTTCCAGCCCGCCCACACTTCACAAACCTAGAACCACGCGTGTTTGTAACCTCACAAACCAGTGCCGACACTTTTACATCGCAAAATCTCACCCTCCTTCTCAGGGTCGTGCAGCGGCCAAGTTTCCCCCGTCTAAATCCTAATTGTATCCTACTAGAGTCTGCGATGGTCGGAATCACTTGCAGCAAGTTTCCACCAGCCTCCAATCAGCACCAACTCCATCTCACACATACCTATGCTAACCCATCGAAGAAGCAGCTGCAAATTAATGGCATGTTGCTGCCAGGTCAATTTCTGATTCAGTTCAGCTGGAGTATTGAGGAAGCTTTATATCCCTACAAGAATAGCTGTTCGGTACCTGAAGCCCGACCGCTTTGCTGCCTCTTCGAGCCGTTTCTTCAGCTCGGCTGTTGAAGATATTTGGTTTCACCAATTCCATAAGTTTCTCTCACTCGCTGTTAGTTGTAAGGGAATTGTATTTTTATGTAAATTCTAATTTTGATAATGGTGGAAGAAATTGACACCGTCGTCCACTGGGCAGGTAATTTGTTCCTGGGTATAGCAGCATATTTTAAACCATTTTGGTTTTTTTTTAAACTAATTGCAGAAGTGGATTTATTGTAAACAAATAATTTAAAGAAGTAACCGTTCATATTTGGAGCCAGTACCCCCACTTCCCCCAATTCTCGCGCGGTTTAGATACCCACATCTCCCTCTCAATTTCAAATTGAATTTGTTAATGTTAAGTTCATTTATATAGCCGAATGAAACCTCCTTCCTCCGTTCCAACTCTGACCCTCACTGTACTAATCCAATATCGCAATCATGTCTGTCAATCCTCTTCCTGTTCTTCATGTTCAAAACGACACGTGGGTGTTGCGGCTTCGGCTGCTGAGGGTATGGGGGAAGTTGTATCATACCGGGGATTCACTTCAACAAGTGAATCTCTTATTCATTAACAACCAGGTCTGTGTATTATTCATTCTGACCTCTTTCTCAGTAACGGTTGTACAAACATTAATTCATTTTCCTTGACTATGCAGGGTCAGTTGGTTGAAGCCATCATTCGGCGACCACATTTAAATTGATTTCTGTCAAATCTTCATGAGGGCCGTGTTTATGGAGTAATGTCGCTTTACATTGAAGAGAACAACTCTATTCATCGAGTGGCAAAAGCGGATTTTCGTTTGTCATTTCGTTCGGATACCCTGTTGTATGTCATGGAGGACACAGGTGATATTGAGAAATTTAGTTTTCATTTCCTTGCTGTCAGGGACATCCCTTATGCATTTCAGAATCAAACTTATCTGCCGGGTATGAGCTTTAAAACAATAGCTTCTTCAAATGAATGCATTTTGGTAACACCCTACATCTTAATGCACGGTTATTTGGATTGGCTTTTGTAGATTTGGTTGGAACAATTTTTGGATGTGAACCTGTTCAGGTTCTCTACCCAGGTTTACCGGTTCGGAAGAAGCGGATCACGCTCCTACTGCCAGAGTCCGTAAAATGGTTCTTTTGTTTATGCTCATTCTGAAAGCAACGGTTATTTCTATCTTCCCAACTTCTGTTTATTTTCTTTAGGGGAGAGATAGCTTATGTTTTTTTGTCGGACTCGGCAATACCAAGTTTTGAAGAAGTTGTTTCTGACGCTGGAGCTTTGGGGCAGATCACGTCTTCACATCACTATTCATCGAGCAAAACGAAGGTCCGAAAATTTTCTGCCTTTTTCTCATGTGCATTTGATTATCATGTCCTTGAGAATTGTAACATTTTTAGTGACGGAGTAGATGCTGGCCTTTGTTTCGTTTGACAATGACTAAGTTCAGAATACAGAGTCGTTTACAAAAACAAAATTTTATTATCCAATTAGCACAATTAATTAAATTTTTGTTTACTCATTTGGGACAGTAAAACGTTGTTTGAAGTTACCTTTTAATAAGATAAGCAGTATAACTTCAATTATGGTCATCATCTTTTGTAAATTAATAACAGTTCTTATCACTGTAGTTTTATTTACTGATGTGTTTGTGGTTTTATTGTTAAATGGATGTTAGGAGGTTATTCGTTTTCTTCCTCACGAGCAACTAAAATGTATCTCAACATCCACTGCCCTCACTTGCATCCTTTGTTAAACCAGTAAGCTTCACAATCCTCTATCTTTGCAACTTTAATTTCTAATGTGTGTGGTATCTATTGATAGTTTTAATTTTGCTTAATTTAGTATCAGGGAAGATGGACCCCAATTTGGATCTAACTATATTGTTGGGCCATTGCTATACGAGGAAGCTATCGCCATATCTGAGCACACCACGGTTCCACAGCTTAATATGATAAAGTTCAGTCTGTATAGTACGGTAAGTCACTCAAACGCAACTAAATACCAAATTTTTTAAAACACCGTCACTACCCAATTCAACATTTGATTCATTTTGGTCATCAATAACACATGTGTCTGTTTTAGGGGAAGGTATACACCATGACGGGAAAACAAAAAGCCATTGGAATTTAAACTTCAGCGCACTCTATGGTCAGTGTTGTGCATTTCACCATCAATGATGTAACTGAGGAGCTGGAAGTTGTGTTTCCCTGTGTCAACCTTAGATGCATTGTTGGTGATGTGGTTGCGGAGACATATATCAATTAGGACACTGACATGATCGCCATTTTCAACTGCATTCATTCGAAATATTACCAGTTTGTTATTGAAGTTGGAGCGTGGAACCACATGGTTTGTCACTGTGATTTGGTTTTGCTGAAGATGTTCCATGCTGCCATTTAAGGATGGAGTGCTTTTAATGGATTCATGGATTGTGTTTCTAAATATCAACCACACTCAAACATTTAATAGGATGTGGTTGGCTAGGCATTTCTCTTCCTTCAGTTCTATTTACTACTTCCACTGTACATTTTTACTGTTATTTGTGATGATCAGATTGTTGGAGCTTACCCTTTTAGTTTTATGGTTTGGTTTTAATGCACCCAGTGTGCAAGAGATTAGCTGTAACTGATTTCCGCAGCTTTGTTTATAATGGAGAATCACTTATATATTTGGATTGGGTTTCTGCTGTTCTACAAGATGGTTGTTAAAATACATTAATTATTTTCTGCAGCTGAAGCGGTAGTTATTGTTCTATCAAATGCTAGCGAACCAACTTTCTTTGATTTTTCAATTCTGATACTTAATTTTTAGATATCTTCAAAGCTATTTTACAAAGTAGTTATCAGAGAGTCGTTGCCAAATGCTTTTCAGACATCCTTTCATTTTTGGATGGACTACTTCATTTGTTTTGTTGGATGCGTAACACTATTAAGGTTATTTATTCCCATCTCCTTTAATATATTCCCATCTCCTTTAGTCAAGAAAAATGGTTAAGCCGCTATCTATTGGTCAATAGTCAATACCTTGAATTAGCCAAGCACTCCTTCGTCCCATTACAAAAACCAAAAAAATGTAAACTCCTATCAATCATCGTACTAGATAAGTTAGCATTATGTCATTTTGTTCTAAAATTGTAATTGGTAAACTTATTTCATAAAGCTAAAAGCACTTACCAATTTGATAAAAGATTTGGGGTTTTCTATTGGACCGACATTTTAGTAAAAGCGTAGTTCAATCGTTGTTAAATCAGACTTGACAAATTGCTCGAGTCCGAGCTTAGATTTATGCGCAGAAAAAATTAAAAATTGTCAAACCAGATGAAAGGCCATGCTATAGAATTACCATGAGGTTATTTTTTGCTAAAATCTAAGTTCACCCGTGGCTAAATCAAGCATAAAACATTTGTCCAACTCAAGGATCAATTTAAGTTAAGAAAAATAAAAAAGTGTCAAAACGTATCTAATATCATACAGGGAAAGTTAGTATTAGAGTATTTTGTCTCAAAATTTTGGCTTAACCATGGTTAAAATCAGGCTTCATACATTGCTCCAACCTAACACTCGGTGTATGTTCATAAAAATCTCAAAAAAATGTAAAAATATGCCAATGGTTTTCCAGAAAGTTAGCTTTAGGGTCTTTTTTGCAAAAAAAAAAAAAAAAATCAAGCAAAATTATGGTGAAATTAGGCTTCCCAAATTGGTCCAATCCGACACTCGATCTATGTACATAAAAAATCAAAATTGTAAAACCATACTGAAGGTCGTACCAAAAAAGTTAACATTACGGCAGACTGTGGTAAACTCATAGTTCAACTGTGGTTAAATTTTTTCATACAGCTAAAATCACATACTGATTTAGATTCCGTTAAGAGTTTTTTAATTGAATCATCAGTAAGGTACAATCACAGTTCACTCGGACAGTTGTGTGTGTTGTCAAAACAACATACTTCAAACGTGGTTAAAGCAAGTTTGACCTTTTGGTCTGGCCCGAGCCTTGATTTATGTTCACAAAAGTCGAAAATTGTAAAATCATACATAAGGTTGCATTACACTGCTTTCTGCTAAAATCATAGTTCATGTAGTTAAAATCAAGATTGACACTTTGTTCCAATCCGATCCTATGCTATTCGCAAAAAAATAATAAATCGTTAAATCACTCTGACGGTCATCTCGGAAAAGTTGAGATTACGCCATTACGGTGATTTTAGATGTATCACATGATTTACACATGGTTTAACTACAATTTTATTGCAAAATGTCCTACTGCTAATTTTTTCTCTACAACCTCAAAAATGGTTTTCAAAA